GCATCTTCACGGTTTAACAGCTTGGCATTCTTTTTAATGACCCCTGCTGTTTTTACCAGGAGGCTGTATAGAGATGCCGGGCTGCTTTTTCCCCAGTTCCTCTAGCAACCCTTACAGTGCCCTAAATCTTTACAGGCCCATTGTAGGTATTCTAAAATTCAAACCTAGCTGTACTGTAACAGTTGTCAGCTCATGTGCTCTGCATTGTAAATTATTACAGATCAGTCTTTCAAGTCGTGTTAAGTACTTCATGTGGATTAGAATTGTTATGGTTTTTGAAAATGTGGTCTCACCAATTAATAGGGAAATAACCAATTTTTCTACGTGCATCGTCCCCTTTTAACTCACTGATGATGAGGTGATGGTAGCCTAGCTGTGGGTGTGCTTTTGATGTCCTTGGAGAGATGCACATATTCCTCTGACTCAGCTTTATCTTGTACAGCTCAGTTTCTCCCCTTATAAAAGGTGTTGTGTTTATTTATGTTGTGCTGTATTTATCTATGCAGTGTGTTTTTAAAACCTGAATATGAAAAGTTTAGTGTCAGAGATGTATCCACACTACAGGGAAGGAGAAGTGGTTAGTCAGTGTAGAAGCACACAGCTTAATATAATGACCACGTGAACTCACCAAGAAATAGTGGGATGAGAATGGAAATAAATTTTCACAGACCTCTGTGGCACATCAGCAGAATGTTTCTAGAACCCAGGTGTACTCTTTAAAGCAAGTTTGTATGCTCGTGAAATACTTAACATTTGCTGTGAAAAGTACTTAACTTCTGAGGAAGTGTTTGAAACAGAGGCAAGTGGCACTGAGTGACTCAGAGCAGGACCCTGGACTGTACAGAGTGGAAGATGTGAAGTGTGAGGCCAATGTTTTTAGTGCGGTGGTAATACAACCAGTAGTTTCAGCATCAGCCTGTGATTAGAATTATAGCACCACTGAACAGAGCTCATTTTTTCTTTAGCCTTTCACTTAGGTGACCATATGGGACAGCCTGACTGTGGCTGTTTGACAGATGCCCACCCAGCTGCTCTCTCACTACACTTCCTCAACAAGCAGGGAGAGAAAATAGGCTGGAAAAGCTGCTTTAGATGAATAAAGAAATAAACACGTTTTCTTCTAGACCGAGAAAACTAGGTAGAAAAATTTACCAGTGATTTTCCACTGAAACCTTGCTCTGGCAGTAGAATCATATTGAATATACTAGACAGCTTTTTTTAATGACCGAACTTGCAATTTTGGGGATAATTTTTTCAGTTTCAGAGATAATCTAAATTCTGGAAAATTCATTGATTCTGACTAAAATATTTCTTCTGTAACTCTCTTCTCCATTACAACTTTCAGGAAAGGAAAGTTTTTCTGACTGCTTAGTAGTTTAGCTTGGGGTCCAGAACTTTCTTTGAAGTCATTACTTGATGGCAGAGCCATGGTTGCTTATTGAACTGTCTACCAAAAAATGTGTTCTACATTATTGCAGTCAGTACCTGAATTGTGGCTGAATTTTTGAAATAGCAGAAATATTTCTTCTGATTATGTTGAAGTCAGCTGTTCTCTGAAACTCTGGTAGTTTGCAGAGTCAAGTATTTTGATTTTCAAAAAATTTTAATAGAATCTAAAGGAATATTAAGAATTAGCATTAGAATGGTAAATTTTGGCTGCCAGGAACCAAGTTTTATGTACAAGTATTTAATCCTGTTTGCTCGTGATGTTTTTTGTTTATAGTAAAATAAGTTTTGAGTCACTATCAATGGTAAGAGACCATGGACTGACTCGGAGAGCTTCATGCTGCCCAGCAGTGTTTAGGCCAGTCAAGTGCATTATTTATGAGTAAAAACCCAGCCAGCTTGAAGACTTTTTATGCACAAACTTTATAAAAATGGAGGAATTGGCTTTTCAAATTAAGCATTCCCTCCCTCCACCTAATAAGACCTAAATTACATCTGCCTTCAAGGCATGTTGATACATTCTATACTTACAAACTTAAGCAGTAATCAATTGAAGGTGGAGACATTTTCCATTGTCATTACAAAGTACAATACTGTTTTCTAACAAGTGAAAGGAAGACAGTAAAATTCGTGGTATTACTAAAGAAAAGAGCAGTAGTCAGAAGCAAAAGCATGAATAAGATAATTCAAATAAGTAATGTAAGTACAGGTGTTTTCTGTGGTAATGTTAAAAAAATCTTAAATCACTTGGAAGAAACAGAATCTTTTGTGTTTCAGAATGAAGGGATTTATTCCAAATTCATTTGCTAAGGAGAGGGATTTGTTGGCTAAGCATGCAAGAGAATAATGTAGTAGTAACTGATGGAAAAATGTGTAATAGCGAATATAAAATACAGTATAGGGAGAGAAATTCTAATAATAAAAGGACATGTTTCCTTAGTTTTATGCATTATTTTAACTTTCAGTCTTCTTTACAGTGGAATTCGTTCAAAAAGCAGAATATACTTGTAAATCTTCCAATAAGTACCCATCAACAAGACAAAAACAATTTTTTTTCTCTCATGGGTATGCATGCACTGTGTGCAGGAAATATTGAAAACAGCCTAAATGTATTATCCTCTGTGATGGAGAAAAGCAGCTATATTTCTTCCAAGACTAATATTCTCTCAAGTTATTTAATATTTTCTTCCTCCAGTCTAATTGCCAACCATATCATGATACACTGAGATTTTTTTGCTAGTTTTAGTTTGTCTTTTTTAATGAGTTTTGTAAATTTTTCTCATATTTTCCTGTACAATGCAATGATAATAATGAGGAGTATTCTCATCTCTAGCTTCACCCCAAATTTATCATGAATTTATTCTGAGTATGTTCTCTGTGGTTTAGGAGCTCTGCAGACATCATGCTGCCCTGCCCCTGTACTTCGGAGTATGCCTTGATGTGTGTCTGCGTACTAAAGGGACAAAATACTGAGGTTATGCTTTCCCTGACACCCAGCAGAAGAAAAAGATGTAATTGTTCACTTCTCACTGGGAATGCTGTAGTAGCCATGCTGTCTCTGGCAAGGGAAGTTTGCGTGTTCAGGCAGGTCTGTGGCAGGTTTTGTGGCAGGCTTTGCTTGTAAGCTGTCACTGACGAGCAAGGACTAGTAACAATAAAAAGTAGAAGCAGAACGAGATAATTTTGTCTGAGCTCATTCATGATTTGCTTTCCCTGATTTGTATTTTAAAATAAATAAATGTATTTTGAATAAATAAATAAATTTTAAAATAAATAATGTATTTTAAATAAAATAGTGTAGCAGGGAAAAAAAAAGTTAGGTTCATTTATTTTGGCCATACCTGGGGAAATCCATTCTGCATCCGTAAAGCTCAAGTCTTCCATTGCTATTAGACAAAAAACAGAACAGTAATTTTTGTCAAGTATGCCCTTCCGATGTTTATGGCTGCATTGAAAAATGACATTTGAATATTTTTTATGCCCTGGCACTGGATACTGTGGAGGCCTCTGGAATCCTTTGGCCTGTCTCCATCCTACCATTCTGCTGACAAAAGTGATTTGCAATTCCGAGCCTTATGAGATACCAAAGTGCCCCTGTTCATTAGCACTGCTTGCCCTTGTCTACTTGGTTGCCTTTTTTCATTGTTTTTTCAAAGACAGCCTAAGGGGACTAAGTTAACATGCAGAATTTATAAAAGAATTGTAGCAGACTGAAGTATGTTAATTTGCAGGTAGTTTCATAAGCAGAAGAATCCAAAGACATGACTTCTATTGATTTGAGTGTCACCTTCCCTGTGTACATTGTCTGATAAAGCTTCATCAAATGTTCCAGCTTTTCCCTGAGTGGGGGAGAATTAGTACAATTTATCTTCTCTTTTGAGCTTTCTATTTTCATTATAGTTGCAGTTAATGATCTATATGGGAAATGGGCAAAAACTAGTATCTTGGGGAAGAATTGGAAGACAGTGAGCAAAATTAGGAGACAACACACTCCTTTCACTTTAGGAAAGGTTAAAAGTCACAGTGTGAAAAGAGCTGGTGTGTTTAAACCATGATGACTGAAGGCAGGTGCAGATGTTTTGCTTTGATGAGTTATTGCTCCAGCAGTTGCTGGTCCTTTATTGCTGAAGGTGATTTGGTAAACCCACAGACTCTGGGAAGTGGAAGCATGAAAGTGTTGTATGTAGCATCTCTTCTATATGGAAAATAACTTTCAAGCAAGGGGTAGTAGCAAGTCAAGGCTGCCTGTACTACTAAATCAGTACAGCTTCTTCATGACTGCATGTACATGTTTTGAATTTTTCACTGGCTTCTTCAGTGATTTGAGAAACAAAACCAGATTGGTTTTTTTTTGGGTCCACCCTCATTTATCATTATATCATTATATTTATATCAAAAAAGCATTTCTATGTTATTTCTTTTGAAGACATAGTGAAAACCTTGTGAAAGTCCTACTGTGAAGTATTTTCAATATGTTGTAAAGCTAGCTGTTCCATCCATTTATTATATATATTGTAGATCAAAACTTATACAGCTCTCAATTTAAACATGTAAGCAGCAATCACTTTTGCATATATTTGCTATGTATTCAGATAAGTACATTTTATCTTTCTGAATAATTCTCAGTTGTTTTTCTTACTTTCATTTTGGAAATTATATCCTTTCTTCATGTTTAGTTTTATTCCTCATCTGATAACTGTTTACCTTGCTGAAACCAGCATGTAATGATCTTATTTCAGTTTTTACATGATTTTTACTGCTGTTAAACAGTTAAGAAACTCTGATAATATTACAGAATTTTCGGTATTAATGAACCCTGTCTTATTCTGCTAATGGAATATAAATATCTAAAGCCAAGTAGCATGAGAGACCTAAAAATTAAGAGTTCATGTTAACAAAAAAAAATCGTCATTAGATGTTTCCAAAGCTTTGAGCTGTTCTGCTTCAAGCTTTTTTAGGCATTGTAATACAATAAATATATATATATATATATCTCACTATCATAGTTTGGTTTGATAAACTCACATAAATTTCTGATATTTTTCTTTACCCAGGGAAATTACCGCTTCATGAAACTTTTACTGGCTCGCAGAGGGAACTGGATGCAGAAGGACTTAGAGGATATGACACCGTTACATTTAACTACACGTCACAAAAGTCCAAAATGTTTAGCTTTGTTGTTAAAACATATGGCACCTGGAGAAGTGGATACCCAGGACAGAAACAAGGTAAAAGTACTGCTTATTTTAAGACAACTGCTTATTTTAAAACAGCTGTTTATTTTAAGATTTGTAGCAACTTTAGAAATTGGTTTTACATCAAGCGGTTGTGTGCAAAAAATTATTTGTCGTAAACTTTTTCTAGGCCTTCAAAGTAGAGATTTAATGTTTTCCTGATGTTAATGATGTCAAAGTTCCTTGCACTAGCTCCACTGACATTCTTCTTGAGAGTAGCTACAACAATAGAGGATTCGAAAACCATCCAAGTCTTTCTGTAACATTGTGATTCTTGTTAGAGTCTGGATAGCATGTGCTTATGTTACTTTTCTGCCTTTGAAAACCTCACATTTAGAATCTTTTAATGATAAGAGTCACTAGAAAACTGCCTGTAATTACAGCAGTCATTCTGGAGAGGTCATGCTGACTTCATGACCATGCTAATTAATTAACAAAGGTATGCATAAACCAGCCAAAACCATTTAGCAACCTTGCCTGTTCAGCAGATTTCCAAGCCAGTATTTGAAGCTTCGCCAGATGCCCCACAAAACATGGAGCACTTTTCTTCTGGTTCATGTCATGAGTAGTTGCAGTAGCAGAAATGGAATTCAGGTTGGTGAAAGATGATCTCAGGCACAGAGTCCGACCTGTTGGACCCTGTTGGGCACATGGCTTTTTCACTTTCCTTGCTGCAACTGTGCACATCAAAATTGTCAAATATAATTCCTGAACACGAGGGAGAACAAGTGTCCTTTGCATCTGCTTCCATGTCGGTAACTGACTGAAAGTGGTTGTCGGTGAGAGAAGTCAGTGAACCAAGGCTACGCTGGCCTCTGGTAACCAAAACTTTCTGCCTTCATTGCAACTGTCAGTTTCCAGGAATACTGATCAGCTCCATTTAAAAAATAACACTAATTTACTTCACATTTTTACTGGTACAAGGCCGTGGTGGCACTTTGTGGAGCCCCTCTTCAGTGAGTGACAGGTAGAAAAAAAGGCTGTGCTATCTCACTGTTGTTACCGTGGTACTAAGCTAACAGCTGGCAGCAACGACCACAAATAGGCTCCTTTTTGCCTTCTTCCTTCACAGAGAAGTTAAGATGATATGATATGATGATAAATTTAAAAATTCTATGTCACTGTTTAAGGATGTTAATACAGGGTGTTGTACTTCTATACACAAATGTCCTGCAGGAGTTATTTCTCTGTTTCTAGTCAAAGTGCCAGGTGATGTTTAGTAGGGGTGAGGGGGTAAGAGAGCTGGGGAAAAAAAAAAAATCATTCTTTATCTTATAACTCTCTGTTACTTGACAGTTGGGAGAGGTGTGTCTGGTAAATTAAATACTTGTTAATATACCAATGTTTTCCAGGTTAAGAAACCCCCACACATTGGTTTGTTTATGTAGTTACAAACATTGATAAGGCCTGTGCAAAAGCTGTTGGCAGTCAGGAATTGGCAAGAGGAACATGGATTGCCTTTTGATATTTTATTGGACTGCCATGGGTCATTGGGCATTAGATTCACTAATGTTCAACCTCAGTGTTCTGAGTTATCACAGACAGTAAAGTCAACCTTAGTTCAAGGTGGATTTGAGTCCAGTGTCAGCATTCACTGTCACCTTCCCCTAGTGGAGAGTAGTCTCCATCAATTTGTGTTATTTGAAATTTAAGAGGGACCACACTAATCTCTGCAGTTGTTCTATAGCGCGGCTCTGGGGCTGCGGCCTGGTTCAGATCATCATTCTAGCTTGGATGTCCTTGCTTAATACCAAGCACAGATATTTTCTCCAGGTCTGAGCTGCTGCACCAAATAGCCATCAGGGCAGTGCTAAGTGGCATGCACATTTTTCTCTTGCCATAGACCAACAAATCTTCGTAAAAAGCAGTCTCCTAGCAGAGACACTTATGTTCCAAGCATAAGGGCATCTCAGTTTGGATCTTGTATAAAGTGGTGCAGCTTAGACTTGACTCAGACCTCAGTAGCTGTGTGATGATCTGCTCTTATTAAAGTAGATGGGCCTTTGTTCAGCTTTGTTTAAAGCCTGTTTTCATAGATTTTCAGTTGTCAGCCACCCCAGGTGCATGTGCTCAGTTTTTTGTCAGTTCTCTTTATTGAAGTGTAACAAATGCTTGCTTATTTGCCTGTTATTCAAAGCTGGTTGTAGCGAACTTTATTTTTCATGTTTCAACAATTTTTCAACGTTTTGAAAAAGCTTGTGAAAATTGTATTGCAGCAAACTGCATTGCATTGGAGTGCCTACTACAACAACCCAGAGCATGTGAAACTTCTCATCAAACATGATTCAAATATTGGAATTCCTGATATTGAAGGAAAAATCCCACTTCACTGGGCAGCTAACAACAAGGACCCTAGTGCAATCCACACAGTGAAATGTATTCTGGTAAGAAAGTCTGCTATATATGTATATAACACTTTCTGTCCTTACTACTTTCCTCTGATAGAAATATTTTTTTATTCTCTTAGGATTTCTCATTTTGGTCCACTGACTCTTTGAGAATGAAATAATTTGCTTTTCCTAACATCCAGAACTTTGTAAGAAATAATCCTAAATATTTTTGCTGTCTCTAAAAGAGTTTGCTTTGAGTTCTATGGGTGAATGTCTTTGCTCTAAGTCTTGTAAGTGGGGGAAGGAAAGACTTAAAAGTTTTCATGGATGAAATGGCCAGTCATATTGCTCATTTCAGTTGCAATTTGCACACTGATTTCTTTGTTATGTGTCTTTCCTTCATTATTTGAAAGTTTATATCTAGTTATCTGTACTGAAAATTTTAGTTTAATTTGGTTTTCAGGTTAGAATTCTGGGAAATATTTGATCAGTTGTCAGTTAGCCCACAATCAGTTTGCTAAGAGACTTTCAGCGTGATTTTGTGTATGAATTTGATACTGTCTCCTTGATAGCATATTTTCTCTTTCTGCAATATTTGGGTTTATCTTCTGCAATGACAGTTATAATGGGTACAATGAAATCATATGCTCAGCTTGATTTTTACCTTGATTCTTATTTTGTGAAAATTTCTGAGCTTCACTAACATGGAAAGATACAGAAGTCTCAGTTTAAATTTTCTGTCACTTTAGAACAATCTTCCTGTATCTTTGTCTTCCAAAGGTCTTTCACAACTAGACACACGATGATTGTACTTTAACTACAAGGACTTGTATGTCTGTCTGCCTGATTAGCTGGCAAGCTGAGAACTTGAAAATGAAAACTTTCTTTGCTTTTTTTTCAAATCACACTGACAATCTTACAGTTACTGATACTTTTTTTACTATAAAAAATAGTTTTAGAGAAGTTTCCAGCATCAAAGAGATTGCATTTCTGTGTCACTGCTGTTTATTCAATATATTTGTAATTTGTATCCAGCTGTGAAACAATTTGTTACAAACTAAATTTTGTCACAAACTTTGAATTTGTATCTGCTTTTCTGCCACACTGGAGAAGTAAATTTGCTGCAGAGTACATGCAGATCTTTGTATTTAACTACAAACTGTTTCAAACATTAGGTCGTCAAAAGACATATTTTTTATAGTTGTGGTGTGTTGGGCTCAAACAAGAGCCTCACACCCACACAGCCACTCACTCACCTGCCCTCTTTCAAGGCAGAGAAAACAGAAGGAAGGCAAGAAGACTTATGGATGAAGATAATGCCAGCCCAGTATAGAAAGTAAGAGCAACATGCAGAAAAGGAAATTTATTCACTCTTTCCATCAGCACGCAGATGTCAGCCACTTACAGCAAAATGGAAAAGAGCTTCAGCATGCTTAATCATGCTTGGGAAAACAAATGGTGTAGCTGTGGACATCCTTCCTGCCCTCCCTCTGTCCCTGAGGGTTTTTGCTTAGCATGATATTATTTGGTATGATGTATTGCTTGGGGCCAGTTTGTGTCAAATGTCCCAGCTGAATCTTGTCCCAGTCTCTTGCCCACCCTCAGCCCATTCACTGGAGTAAGCAGGGGAGCAGGACGTGAAAAAGAGGAATCCATGCTATTCCACAATAGCCAAAACATGGATGTGTTATCAACAGTTTTAATCACAAATACAAAACCCTGCTGCTGCAAGGAATATTAACTCCATCTCAGACAGATGTACTTTAAAAGATCAAAAATACTTGTCCCCCGTACTGAAAGTGTTCTCAAAGATTCTCTTTAGGTAATCCAGAATCATGGTCATGTCCAGGTTTTTTTCGAGGACTTTTTTGCTTTGTTTTTGTTTGTTTTTTTATTTTAAATTCTGACAGTTAAAAGAATTGCAGAATAGTTTGAGGTGGTCATCTGGTCCAACTGCCCTGGGCCATCTTCAACTACATCAGGTTGCTCTGGGCTCTATCCAGCCCTTTGAACTCTTCCAGGACTGGGAATCCACAGCTTCTCTGGGCAACCTGTTCCAGTGCTTCACCACCCTCACAATAGAATTTCTTCCTAATATCCAGTCTAAACCTACTCTCAGTTTAAAATCATTCCCCCTTGTCCTGTCACCACATGCCCTGTAAATAGTCCTTTTCCATCTTTCTTGTAGGCCCCCTTTAGGTACTGGAAGGCTGCTGTAAGGTCTTCTTGGAGCCTTCTCTTCTGCATGTGAGAACTCTCTCAGCCTTTCTGCATAGAAGAAGCCACCCTCTAATGATCTTGGTGGCTTCCTCTGGACTCACTCCAACAGGTTGATATCTTCCCTGGGCTGGGGACCCCAGAGCTGGATGAAGTGGAGTCTTAGGAGAGCAGAACAGAGGAGCAGAATCCCCACCTTCAACCTGCTGGCCACACTGCTTTTGATGCAGCCCAGGACACATTTGGCTTTCTGGGTCACAAGCACACATTGCAGGCTCAGGTCCAGCCTCTCATCCTTTACCTGGCACCCCAAGCCCTGCCTGGCAGGGCTCCTCTCCATCTGTTCATCCCCCAGCCTGTGCTAGTACTGGGGGTGCCCTGACCCAAGTGCAGCACCTTGCACTCAGCTTCACTGAACTTCATGAGTTTCCCATGCGCCTACTTCTGGAGCTTGGCCAGGTCCCTCTGGATGGTATCCCATTCCTCAGGCTTGTCAGCTGCACCACCCATCTTGGTGTCTTTTGCAGACTTGCTGAGGGTGCAATCAATCCCTTCACCTGTGTCATTAATGAATACATTAAATCTCACTGGTTCCCAGCACCGCCTCCTGAGGGACACCATCGTTTTCCATTGGGACATTGAGACATCATTATCCATTGCTCTGGATGCAACTGTCCAACAAATTCCTTATCCATCAAACAGTCCACCCATCAAATCTCTCTAATTTGTAGATAAAGACCTTGTTGGGAACTGCATCAAAGGCGTTGCAGCAGTCCAGAGAAATAACATGCAAAGCCATTTCACTGATGTAGTCACTCCATGATAGAAGGCCACTGGGTTAGTCAGGCATGGCTGGGTGACCACCTGGTCCAGTGTCACATTCCCTGTGTTGGGGCTGTTTGTCAGCTGCCTTGAAAAGTTGTTCTCCATTCATCCCAGGAGTCTCCTGGATTCCCTATAGCTCACCATGCTGCTTCTCTGACAAACGTCAAGATGGTTGAAGTTCCCCAGCAGGACAAGAGCCTCCAGCACAATGCCTCCTGCAGCTGGAGCAAGAAGGCTTTGTCAGGAGGCTCCCCTTGGTCAAGAGGCCTGTGGTAGACACTGACCATGGGGTTCCCTTTTTATGCCTCAGTCTCTGATTCCTGCCTACAGGCTTTCTACCTGCTCATAGCTGTTTTTCAGGGACAGCACATTGCACTCTATCCATATATTGAACAGAGCAACCCCTTTGACCCTCCTTCCTGTCCTGTCTCTTCTGAGCAGCCTGTAGCCACGCACCGCCCATGGATCATCCCATCAAGTTTCAGCAGTGGCAGCTGGGTCATGGCATTCTTCTGGAGGCTTTCAACTCCTCCTGTTGCTCATGCTGGGTGCAGAGGTATAGAGACACTTTGGCTGGGCTGAAAGAAGTGTATTCTTGATTTCATCTAGGCTTTTTTATGCATCAGCTTAATTGTTTATATTGCAATTAGGTACATCTATATGTGCTTAATAACAGAGTAAGTTAATAACAAGTTTAAATGAAAAAGTAGTTTAGCTGTGCTGTAAAGTTGATGATAGAGGAATGTTGTTATTAGGTAGTCAATCTGTTGACTGAATTTTTTGTTGAGTATAAATACCTTTTTGTGGTAGTGGTGGTGGTACCCTGAGTTTAATCCCATAGTAAGAGCTTCTCTCCGAATTGTTTTTCTTACTTGTCTTGAAGTGACAGACCTTCACAGCATAGCACAGACACAGCAGAGCTCACAGTCTTCCCCTCCCTTCTTAGCTGCTTTTTGCCATGTTATCCTGTTCCAAGGCTATTGTCTGAGCATCATGTTTGATTCTCATTCCTCTCTACATCTTCTAACTTTACAGTTTTTCACATTCCACATTGTATTTCTAAAGGATGTACCCATAGTGTGAAAATTTGTCATCTTGTGTTTTAAATTTGCAAAAACACTGTCTTGTGGTGATAGCAGTATAAAAGGCAAGTGTCTGTGTCACTGTTGCTTCCCAATTTTTAATCACATCCAATCAAACCATTTCTCTTTGCTTTCTCTAAGCACTGTGCCATTGCCCAGACAGCAGTGAGGTATCAGTGTCTGCTTCCAGGCTACCTTTGGTGCCTGCTGGCTAAGTTATAAAAAACAACACTGCTGTTGTTTCTCTCTTCTTGTCTTTAACACTGTGGAAGAATTTCCCCAGAAAATTATTTAGTATCCCACTTTGAATTCTCCCATGCTGCTTTACAAAAACTTGACAAGAGTTTAGCTGCTGGTTTTCTCGAGACCGCAGTCTATGGTACTGAAAAATACTGTCTTGTTTTTCTGTACTCTGCCCTCTGGGTGTGGCCAAATATTGTCTTCTGTTTATAAATTCTTAAAATTAAGGATCATCTTTCTGTTTGGTATTTGTATAGTACTTAGTCCATTGGTATTGTCAAAACAAACAATTATGAAAAGCGCTCTGCTAAATGCTGAGAAAGTAGGTTGGGTGTGCAGGGGTGGCATTTGGGCACAAATTAGTTATATCTGATATTGAAATCCATGAAATATAGCCAAAATGAAACTCAATATATGTAGAAAGTAAACATGTGAAGTAGAGAGAAACTCTAATCTGGAGATCTTCTCATGGTCAACTTCCTTTTCCACCTTTCCAGATTGTGCTTGGTTACGTGAAAAACGTTGGGAGGATTTAAGGAGAAAAGAACAGCATAAGGTTCCATTATTATGATGGAAGCAACTGCTTAGTACTCTCTGTCTATTTTGTATCTGTTCTCTTTATTTATTCTTCATGGTAAGAGACATGACATTTGTTTATACCACACTTTCCATTATTGCCTACAATTCCATTGTTCTAATTGCCACAGAAAAATGCTTAGCTTCTGTTTCTTCTCTGTATTGTGCTTAAAATATTAATACAGTATGACAGTTTAATTATAGCTAACCAAACCCACTTAAAATCTGAAGAAATTGTACTCATGAATGTAGGCAGAAACAGACTTAGAAAATTTTAATTTAGGTGGCCAAAAAATTCAAAACACATGAATACTTTTAGACTAGAATATAAATAGTGGCTTTGTCATTGTAGAATCTGTACCATTTTGCAAAAATAACACTTTTGAGTATGGGGATATGAGTATGGGGATATTTCAATATCAATTACTTTAAGCCAGGAGTTTTGGGATTTATTTATTTAGGATGTTATTGTGCTTCTGGAAGGTTTGAAAATTAGCTGTCAGGATTGCATCAGCAAATTATGAGTGAAGAAGCATTTGTTTTCTTGTTCGTCCATTTTGTTCAAACATGTTTTCCTCTGGTAGACCTACAATTTCAGTAATAACTTCTGTGCCTATCATAATTCATGTTTAGCCACTCTTGAAAGTGATTCTCATAAAATGAATTTTTGCAGTAGGCTCTATGCTCCCCCTGCTGAGCTCTATGAACAGACAAAAAGTAAGCATATTATCAGTTAGCTTTCTCTTGAGAATTATTTAAGTTAGGGAACAACATACAAGTTTTCACTGTAGTGGTTCAGGTAAATGCTTTTGAACGCTTATCAAAAGAAGTTTTACACATGCTTAGATTATTGTGGTTTGTGCATGTAACAGTGTTAAGTTTGATTGCATTTTTAGTTTAGAGTCATATTTATCAATTTTTTATTGTTTTAATAGATGATGGTTATTGTACTGATGACTACATATATTAGTGAAATTCGGTATGTTTTAAGTATGTTAATTTTTGACTCTAACAAAGCATGGCTGACAGTACTGATACCTAATCTAAAACTGATGAAGTTTTTTATCTGAGGTGGGCAGCTTAATTAGCATTTAATTAGCATTGGCAGATGTTATTACTCAGATACCGTACATCATCTTTGAAAAGGCATGGAGAGCAGGAAAGGTGCCTGAGGACTGGAGGAAAGCCAGTGTGACTCCAGTGTCTTGAGAAAGGGCCAGAAGGATAACCCAGGAAACTGCAAGTATCACTTCAATCCCTGGAAAGGTGATGGAACAGCTCCTCCTGGATGTCGTCTCTAAGCATGTGAAGGAAAATAAGATTATTAGCAGTCAACACGGATTCACCAAGGGGAAATCATGCTTGACCAGTAAGAGAGCTTTCTGTGACGGCAGGACTGGCAGGGTAGATGCAGGAAGGTCAGTGGGTGTTGCCTACCTTGACTTCAGCAAGGCTTTTGACACTGTCTCCCATGACATTGTCATAGGTGAGCTCAAGGAGGGTGCGTTCTCTGAGCGCGCAGTGAGTGCATTGAGGACTGGCTAATGTCAGAGCTCAGAGAGTTGTGATCAGTGGCACAGAGTCTGGCTACAGGCCTGTATCTAGAAATGTTCCCCCGAGGTCACTACTGGGCCCAGTCTTTTTCCACGTATTTGTTAATAACCTGGATGAAGGGAAAGTGCCCTCAGCAGGTTTGCTGATGATAAAAAACTGGGAGGAGAGGCTGATACACCACCGTGGTGTGCTGCCAGTCAGTGGGACCTGGGCTGGACAGAGAGTTGGGCAGAGAGGAGTCTCATCTAAGCTCAACAAGGGCAAATAGAGGGTCCTGCACAGGGAGGAATCACACTGTGCACCAGTAGAAGGACCTGGGGCTCCTGGGAACAACAGGCTGTCCATGAGGCAGCAGTGTGACCTGAGGGCCAAGAAGGCCATTGGTACCCTGGGGTGCATTAGGAAGAACATTCCCAGCAGCTTGAGGATGTGATCTTCCCTAGAGAATCAACCCTAGTGAGGCCACATCTGAAATGCTGTGTCCAGTTCTGGGCTCCCCAGTTCAAGAAGGACCAGGAGTTAGTGGGGAGGGTCCAGCTAAGTGCTGTGAAGATGAGGAAGGGTCTGGAACCTATGAGGAAAGGCCGAGAGAGCTGGGACCAGTCAGCCTGGAGAAGACTGAGAGGGGATCTTATCAATGAGAAATACCTTAAGTGTGGATATCAAGAGGATGGAGCCAGACACTTTTCAGTGGTGCTCAGCAACAATATAAGGAGCAATGGGTACAAAATGAAACATGGAAGTCACATTTGAATATGAAGGAAAGCATCTTCATTGAGATGAAAGGTGACTGAGCATTGAACAAGCTGCCTAGAGAGGTTCTGGAGTCTTCTTCTCAGAAGATATTTGAAACCCACCTGGACTTAATTCTGTGCAACCTGCTGTGGTTGAACCTTCTGTAGGAGGGGGTTGGACTAGATGACCTCCAGAGATCCTATCCAACGCCAACCATTCTGTGATTCTGTGATTTACATACAGTGTGCAAAGTATGTAGCTCCTTAGATATGGAAAACTTACATGAACCAAATATTAGGAGGTTTAACTTGGCACTGTAAGAAAGCAAACAGTAAGAAACAAAGAATCAGGGCATTGCAGAGTTGAAGTTAATACTGCTGTATTAACTTAGCCAGATTGCACTTAGAAAGTATAGTGAAATATAACTCTAGATGTTTGGAGGGTTTTGAGGGTTTATTTATCCATTACAAAGGAAATATAGATTGTACAACTTTGGTCAGTTAGTATTTGCGTAGAAACCAGAATTCTGGAATTTCCTCTCTTCTACTTGATTTATTGTTCTCAATGTTAGATATTTGTTTTCTGTGTAATAGTTACTACACATCAAGTAATGTGAATGCAAATGATTCTACAGCCAATTTGTGTATCTAGTGGAGTCAAAAGGAAAGATTGCAGTTAGTTTAGTGAGAAAGGGGTCAGGAACTTGATTTAACAGTTAACAAGCTGCACTTGCCACAACCCCTTGCTCCTCTTTCATAAATGTATTGTGATATATAGCGTGACTCTGTATTTTCAGGAAGATTGCTTTTCTCACTTATCATGGGTTAAAATCCCCTCTAGTGTTGGAAGTTAAAAAATTTCAGGACTACATTCCCTTTTAATTCTGCACAGGCTTCCCATGACTTCAGTGATTTGTTCTGAATTCTTGGAGATAGAAAAGCAGACTCACTCCCTCTGGTTTACTTAAAGTCTTGTTTTGACAATCTGCTGCTACTTTAGATGTTTAGTGTCCTGCATCCTGAGTTTTTACTGTATTACTGTTTACCACTTTTTTTAGTAATACCTCTTTTTTTCAGAAAAGTGATGTTTAAAGTTTGTATTTCATGGACCTTTATGATATTTGCCATTTGAAGATCTGTCAAATGCCATGATGTTCATTTGTACCTGTTCAGCTCTTTTGTCTGAAAAAGAAAATCACAAAGAGAAATCTGTGTAGAAAAACATTTGAGAGATGAAATTATCACAATACAAAACTATTTAGCTAGGGAACTTAAGCGAAAGTAATTTAGCATATTTTTAAAGAAAAGGTGATGAAAGTCAAGTTATATTTATTAATGTCTGTGTTACGTGATCAAGTGACTAATCATGAAACTTTAAAAGACTTTTTAAATTCAAAATTAAGCCCATTAGAAATAGATGCATTATTAGAAGTACTCTCTCACTTCTGTCCTGTCAGCTAGAGATGTAGACATCTCCTTTGGAAATACTTTAGGGGTATAAAAGTATTAGGGGTATAAAAGAAGAATATTATAGTGAAAGTCTTAAAATTAATTTGTGGAAAAAGGGAAGTGTTGTTGGAGAAAATCTCAAGATATGTATGTAATTTTTAACTTGTAAATCATGTAAGAATTTCTAGTTATTTTTATAAGAGCCAGAGTTAATCTTTTAAAGATCTGTTTAAGGAACCACATGCACAGCAGACTGGTAAAACTATGGGGTATGTACCAGAAATCTGGTCTTGTACAATAATTAAGTATAAAAAAGCATTCTGTAAGAAGTACTTGAAAGTAGCCTATACTGTAGCAAAAGCATTTGGTTGTAGAGCTACATTTTACTGAACAAGGACAGTGTATCTCTCTGAAAAAGCACCTGTAAAGGTTGTGTAGGTTTTCCTTTCAATTTAAATATTCTTAAAATTTTGTTGTTTCTTTTATTTTTTAAAGGAAGCTGCACCTACAGAATCTCTGCTGAACTGGCAAGACTATGAAGGACGAACTCCTCTTCATTTTGCTGTTGCAGATGGGAATGTAGCAGTTGTGGATGTCCTGACCTCCTATGAAGGCTGCAATGTGACATCTTACGACAACTTGTTTCGAACTCCCCTCCACTGGGCAGCCTTACTTGGTAAACGGGATAGTGCTGAAGTCACTTAGTCATTAATTAACTGAACTGTTTAATCTTTGTCTCTGATTTTTATTTAATTCCAGCCTGGCAGTATGATAGTTAATTTCTTAGAGCAATAAGAGTTTCTGCTCAACCAGGATTAGAAGTTTGTGTGTAGACTGCTTGTTTTAGCTTCAGATTCTCCAAAGCATTGTACAATGCATCACTTCAACAGGTTATATATGCTGATTATTTCCGTTAGAGTATATTGAGATTGTTCTTGTATATGCAGCTTTGATCATAGGTTAAAAAACCAGATACTCTGGAACAGTGGTGTCTGATGTGGGGTATGCACAGCCCAGCATGAAAGCAACACAGTCAATGGGAGTTCATGAAGAAAATACCAGCGTTTATTTTTTACCTGAAAAGATAACTGGACTAATATTTCATATAGAGATTTAAGCTAGTACCTTTGTTTGGTCTATATATGAGATGGTCACATGGGGTTTGCAGGGTGCCTGGGGGAGCTGAGCTGCTCCCACAATGCAGGGTGGTTGATGATGGCATCATGAGTCACATGCTCACTTTCAGCCTACTGTGATGTTCTGCAGTTCACGTCTGCCTGGTTAAGTGGATTTATGATTATATTATCTAGTTTTTATTAAACTACCCCTCACAAACTAAATGAGGGGCTTAAGAAGATTCCCACAAAGAAAATGCAGATAGTCTGATAATGCCAGCACAAGTAAACAACAAAAAAAGGCAGAGTTGACACTTCTAGTATAAGCTCTTCGTCAGACATGCTATGATAATCTAATCAGATCTGACAATGAGTTTTATTTGTATAGAGTCATTCTCTGTTTAGATTGTTACCCTGAGACTCAGATGCTCTGTAAATTGTAACCTTGTATATGTGAATTTTGATTGTATTTACAAAAACTGGATCCTTGCAAAACAAGTTAAAACATGATTAAATGTAAATAGTCTAAATGCAGAGAAACACAACCCGTAAAATGACAGACACAAAAATAATATGATTTAGAAAATTTACCTCCTATTTCCATTCAGGAGGAAAAAATAACCACTGGATAAAAGAATCTTCAAACAGTCTCTCTCCCTTTTTAACTGGCTTCATCCCAATGATCCTTTGGGACACTGCAGACAAAGAATGCCAATATAAGAATCAGATGTTCACTGGAGCGAGTTACTGCAACTCCAGTGGCAGTATACGTTTAGTTTGAATATGTTTATTAAAAGCAAAAAAGAGGGAAGGGTGTTCTCAAATTTGTATATATGTAGGGATATTGAATTTTAACAGAGAAATTGTGAAGCATTTTAAGTGTCATAGGATCAGCTTTCCAAAGAAATAGTCATTATCACTTGGTTCTGTCCAAGAAGCAAAATTTATTGCATTTTGAAATTGATTGTATTTGAGAGAAGCTTTGTCTATTGGAAAAATGGATTGTCTAATCAATGTAGAATAAAGGGGGAAGATGTGCCAAGACCTCCAGACTATTTTGTGAACCTGATGAGGTCTCTAGGTGGCATATGCTCTTTGGGAATTTCTGGTTAGTAAATCATTATTATTTTTCAGGGTTATAGTTTTAAGTTGAAGGTAATGTTCTGTGTAGGTCTTAAAGAGAGTAAGATGTTACTATATAGGTTAACAGTAGGAAATTTAAAGCAGTGCAGGAATGCTGCCACAAGTTTCCTTAGACGTGATGGATTGCATGTGGCTACATCTTAAGGGCATGGTTGCTCCTCTTACCTTTTCTTTTTGCATAGATAAAAGTCTTACCAGTTACATCTCTGCTAAATGAAAGTACATCAGAAATGACAGTTCTTGACCCCAAGAAATGAGTTTTAATCTTTACATTAATGGCCAAGTGAGATCCACCTTTGCACCTATTTCTTTACTGTTGCACCCAATACAATTTTTTTTTAACTCCCTCAAGCCTTATTCTCATAGATAATTTAGCTAGACCCTGTCCTCATTATGGAGTTAGGTTCCCTTTTTGTAGTTGTCTGTCCTGAAAGTTCAGGAATCTTTTTTTTTCAGGCTCAGTACTCCTAAGGTTTTTCTGCTAGGATTTCACTCCAAAGCAACTTCTTCCAGTGAACCTCAATTTACTTCTTGTACTCTTCAGGTGGGACTAGCAACATTACATCTGTTCTTCTCTTCTTCTTCTTCTTTTTGTTTTTTTTTTTTTTTGCTTTTTGTTGCAGGAAGGGACAGAATAATGTGATGTTCTGTATCCAGCATGCTCTGAATGGCTAACAAGAAAGAGGAACCTTCCTGTACAGCCTAAGGCCCCTAGAAAGAAAAAAAATGCTCACATAACTCTTCATCCTTTTTGATCCAAGTTATCATTTTCTCTCATTCCTGGTACTTCTGTACATATAAAGTCTCAAAGTGCCATTTCACAAAAGAGGGCTTGCCTAGTCCTCCATGTCTTAGATTTTAAAGAGCTACAGACCACAACTGTATCACAGCTTCATTCTGCAACTGCTGATGTGTTTTCGTTAAAAATAATCTACTGCTAGCAGGAAGGTTTACCTACCTTTTCATTTATTCTAAAGTGATTCAAGACAACTGTGCAAAAGTAACAAGCTGCAAAATTGATTAGTTTTCTGACATATGAGGTACTGGAGGTTTTCACCTGTAAAATCAGAGTGGTTTTATAGTATTGCTTGGAATACCAAATCATTAAGATACTCTGTGAGCTGCATATGCTGACAGGAACAAGTATATAAACGGACTGCTTGGCTTTAGTGGCAATGTACTGTATTTGTCTTTGTTTTCCTGTTTGTGAAGTGAATATAAAGTTTACCCATCCTCCAAAAGTGTTGTGATTTTAATCTCAAAATATTTTGATCTGTTTCTATGAAGGAATTTGTGGGAGCTTGTTTATAGCAGCTGGTAGCAGACTAGCCTCTGATTCTGCTATACATTCTCAGATGAAATTGTGGTTAAATAAAACCTAAGTGAAGCATTTACATTTGGTTTCTGTAAAACAATATGATGTATGATGAAATTGTCAACATTGATTTAGCTCGTCTTTTAATGCAGATGGACAAATGCTCATCATCATCAGCCTATGCTCACTTTACTGTTTCTGACTGACCTGTCACTCAAATGCAGCATCTCAATTGAGTTATTATAAGCTATTTCTGGAAATATTCAACCACTTCATTACAAAGTTAATATCATAGCTATCGGACCAGTTACTGCTGGTGTCTTTATTTAGGGAAAAGCTCTAGTGAGTTCTGTTAAAAGAAATTCTGTATTTATAAATCATTCTGATTTATAGATGCCCCCCAAAAATGACAATACAGAGTAGGGCACTGGACCACTATTGGGAATAAAGTACATGCCAGACTTAATACTTCAAATATCAAGTCTCATGTTTCTGCCTTACATTTGAGCTATGATGGCTACAACACAAATATGTGATTATTTATGAAAGTCTGTTCATTTTATTCTGTTTTGTTTGAGTTTAGGTTTTTTGTTTGTTAGTGGTGAGGTTTTTTTTACCTTTTTTTTAACTAAACTTTTTTGTGACTTTAGGATTTGATACAACTTTGTTTTTATTGCATTATTTTTCTCAGGTCATGCACAGATTGTCCATCTCTTACTAGAAAGAAATAAGTTTGGAACTATCCCATCTGATAGTCAAGGTGCAACACCCCTACATTATGCAGCACAGAGCAACTTTGCTGTAAGTAGAACATACCCTAAATGTGAAGTAAACATATTTTGCTGAAATCTTTATGGTTTAGCAGTGTTTGAGTTGTTTTTGAAATCATATAAACACAGTTGTTGGCATGAGTTAATTCAGAGTTCTCCTATGTAATCTGATACAAATGTGGTTAATTTCAAAGTATTAAAAGATAGATGTACAAAAACTAACTTTCTGTACAAAAAAAAGGCCCTTTGAGTTGTATGTTTGCATCACACAACACAATAGTCATTCAGTTACTTCAACAGAAAGCAGAATGACACCTACTATTTCACAGTGCTTTCAGGTTTTAGGGCTCATTATAATGAAGTCTAAGCAGTTATAAGGTATCTAGAGTAAGATGACCTGTAGGAGTATTTGCACAGCTGCTGCAGGACCAGTCAAACCAGTCTTTGCGTTCAAGAAGGTAATTAATTTATGAATATTTGGCATTATGAATGAACTGTTGTCTCATGAAGCATGGCTAAAGAGTTGAGTGCCTTTTGTCATAATTCTTCAGGAACACTATATTTTTTAAAAAATTTTTTAAAATATTTTTTAAACTCAGACAACAAAGAACATTGGTTTCTCAGACAGCTTAATTCTTACACTTTGGTATAATAGGTAATTTTTTTTTCCAGAGCAAGATCAGATACGGTAGAACCAAGTATAAAACTCAGCACTTCAATGATTGCCAGTCACAGATGTTGCAGAAGTAGTTCTCAAGCACTGGAAATTAAGAAAGCTTTTCTTAATTTCCTTCAGCTCTCATAGTTTTCATACCCTCCCTTTACAGAAAGGGTTATTTAGAGCCTAATTAATGTAATAGTTATGTAGTCCACATTGCAACATTTTCTTAGCAAGGATAGTAATTTGGGACTTTCTTGCATACCTACATGTTAACAAGGAAAATAAAAAAGGAGAATGTAAAAGTCCTTGAGAGCAATTCAAATTAACAAATCTCTTAATAGTATTGAAGGAGGGAATAGACCAATACTCTTGCTCCCTAGTGAGAATGAGTTTTGGGACTTTGGTGGGGTTTTCTTGGAGGTGGTCTTACTAAGACCATCCAGATATTTTTTAAATTCAGACTTTACTGAGGCATATCTCTCTATGTAATCTTCACTTTTCGAGAATTTTTTGTTGATGCTGATTTTTGTCAATTTAGGGCTGTGTACAATTTGGGCCTAACTCATACACTTAAAATATCTGTGTTGTAAAAGCCTTTCTTTCGTGTTTGAGTTGGACTCATAGAAAAAAAAAGTTTTATTTACCATCTAGTGACTATCTCCACTTTTGGTATTTTTCTTTTCTACATTGATGTATTCCTAAAAAGATTTTTCATACTGGTTTTCTTTCCCTGGGCTTGATTCAGTTAAATGAAATGTCTTCATTATGTTGCTGCCTTTTGATCCCATCAGCCAGCCAAATTGTGATATCATCTGTGTTTTAAGGGGAAGTGAAGTACATGGTGGAATCAGACATTCTTTTGTAATCTTGTGTACTTACAATGAATGGACTGTTCCCATCTTACGTGAAAAATCACAGAGGAGAGTTTCATTCAGATCTGCAAGCCTATTTTAGCTGGTGATGTACTCAACAGCCCCTGCCTAAATTATGTCTGGAGTCTGTATTCACCAGTCCAGTTGTTTCTGAGCACCACTGTTTGCCTTTTTGTCTCCTTTACATGCATATCTTTGAGTAATTCCCACCACTGCAATCCATATACATGGTCAAACAACTGAGTGGAGATACATTGGTGTTTGTTCTGGCAGTAGCATCTCTCTACTCATGGTTTGAGAGCCACATTGTTGTTCTATTCAGTCTGCCCAACTTTGGTTAGGTGTGGTTTTCTCAGTTAAAATGTGATGTTTCTTAGTCCCTAACAATAAGAAAGTTTGTTCTTTTGTGTTTACAGTAAATGTTGGCATGGCTTTCAGTTTTATTTGCTTTGGTGTCTTGTTCTTTGCTCTTGTTTCTCTATAGGTTACTTACTGTAATATGACATTTTTGGGTTTTTTAAAGACTGAAGAGGATTAGCCAGCACTTAATTAATGTGAAGAATTTGTTCCCTAAGACTAACTTATCCCCACTTACTATAGACAGGAAAAGTTCTGGAAGAAAAGACATTACCCAATATAACCACCTAAATTTACATGTCTTGGGTATCCCACAGGAGGTCCCAAGAAGCATTGCTGTTTAAATTTTTGAACTTCATGTGTGAAGGAAGATCAGAGAATCTTTATTTCCAGATCTCAGAATATTCTGAGTGAGAAGGGACCCACAAGGATTATCAAGTCCAGCTCTTAAGTGAATGGCCCAAACAGGAATTGAACCCAGGTGTAATTGCACCACGCTCTAACCAACTGAGCTAAGATGCTCCCTTCATATTGATTTTAGTATGCAGGACTGAATTTTTTTCCCCTGAATTTTCCCAGAGGTGTTCAAAACAATGTACTTTCCTTTCATGTATTTATACAGATTGATCTAGTAAATGAAATGTGGATACCCCTGTCTTATTTTTAAATATTCAAAAATAATATGTAGTATTTTTTAGTTTACTGATAGCACAGAATTAAATGTTTCACATTTAGCTCTCTCCTTTACTGTTATTTTTCAGCTTTGGTTTTTTGTTGTTGTTTCCTCCACTTTTTTTAGTTGTGTTAGAATACATGTGATCTTTCATAACAAAATACATGTAATATTGAACTGATTGATACTTCTATTTTCTGATTTGTCAATCAGGAAATAGAATCAGGTGTAATTTAATTTTGTTTTGTTTTCAAGTTGTGGTAACTTCATTTTGGAGAATAATGCTTGTAGTGCTGTGGGATTTTCTTCTACTTTTTCCAACTAAAAGCTGTAGGAAAGAAAGAGTCATTGAAAGAAGCGTTGCTTTGCCAAAACTTAACAGAAAAATAAAATATTTGTGTTTTTTAGAATGTGTGCCTCAGTATTGAAGAAGTGCAGCCTTTGCAGTGCTTTTCACTCTGCAGGATTTCCAGCAGGGCAGAGCCCTGGGAGGGTGCTGAGTTTCTGGCCTAATAAGAGGCTGTTCATGTCTGGGGTGTGGTGCTGGTCAGTGTGAGAACACAGAGATATAAACTCATGCTGCATTTGTGCGGAAAGCTTTATGCTTCCATCTCTCCTTGCTTCTGGCTGGACCTTTTCACAACAAACTGGTAGTTCAGACCTAAATTCACAAAGCTGTAAGGATCCTAGATCAGTAGCATAAGATAAATGAGGCATTTCCTATTTCTTTAGAAGGATGAAATAGTAAGTAGTAGTGAAAAAACAAAACAAAAGTGATCAGTGGTACTTAGGCATTCAAACACCTTCATGATTAAAAGAATTTAGTTCATTATAGCCAGGAAATTCTTGTCCTGCCAAGAGCAGTGATAGAGCTATTGTGGGATCACACAGAGGAAAGGTTAAAATAGTGTTAATAATAAAATATAAATATAAAGTAAAATAATGAAACCTGGGTTTTCTTCAGGTTTTTATTGGCTAGCCTACCAGTGACTCATATCAGATGTTTCCCAGCTGTTACATACATGGCCTTTTAAGGCATTAGAAAGAAAAGAGAAAATCTTCCTTTTATTCTTTTTCTAATAGTTGTGATTTTCTCTCCCTTCCTTTCCTGGGTGACTCATTAAGAATCTAGCAGCAGGTTAAACAAGTGGACTTGTTTAATGACAGCTTAACACAAACAGAGCATTTAAGGAATAAATATTTTTTGCCTTGATTTGAAATTTTAGTTTAACAGTTACAGTGGAAAGACTGGACTCAGGTATAAAGATTTCCTTAATATTTTCTGAAATGCAGTATTTCAGTAATTAGTAACATAATGATGTTAATAAACATTGCGAAATATGTCTATGTTGACCCTTTTTTTTTAACCCTCAAAATATTAGAGATAGGCAAAATAAAATATTTGCATGTGCAGTTGTATTTATAATTGGAGAAAAAATATATTGGGAAAATATTTTGAAAGAACATGGCTTTCAGGATAGGTTTAGGTTGGACATCAAAAGGAATTTCTTCACAGAAAGGCTAATGGAATGTTGGAATGGGCTGCCAAGGGGGCTGGTGGAGTCCCTGTAGGTGTTTAAAGAAACCACAGGACATGGCACTCAGTGCCATGGGCTGGTTGACGCGGTGGTTTTGGGTCATAGTTGGACTCAATGATCCCAGAGGTCTTTTCCAACATGAAGGATTCAGTAATTTTTTCATCACAGTATTACAGTCATGTTTGGATAAGCCATGATATTTTTCCCATTGCTTTCCTCACACGGACTACCGTGTCTTCTGATTTCTTATGCCGCACACATGGTATTTGACACTGAAAAGAAGAAAGTGTTAAATGACAGTGTTAAACTCACAGTTAAGGGTGCACTATGATCATTGGCGAGGGAAAAGGCATAGCAGAAGATTCAGTGCTTCTGTTGAGCTGTTACTCTTTATAAACATAAAAGGAAAAATGAAGCTTTGATTTGCTTCATAAACAGCTACATGAGACAATAGTTTCTTGTTGTTGCAGATTCCTTTAATGTTAATTTCAACAGTATGTCTTTTCAGGAAACAGTTGAAGTATTTTTGAAACATCCTTCTGTAAAAGATGACTCAGATCTTGAGGGAAGAACGTCCTTCATGTGGGCAGCTGGCAAAGGCAGTGATGATGTCATAAGGACTATGCTGACTTTAAAATTGGATATTGATATCAATATGACAGACAAATATGCCGGCACAGGTAAGATGCTTTACAGTAAAGAGCCACTGCATGTTTCCAATCTGTCTGATTTCCACCAAGTGGAAACATTGATAGAATCTATATTAAGGTTTTTCTGAATGTGTACTTCAATCCTGAAAACATTTCTGCATTATTGTAATTATATGTGTCAGTCAATTCTTTGTCTTGCTGTGGGAAAGAAACAAACATTTTCTGCACAGATTGGAACAGTTCGTTTGAAATGTAGAAAGAAGAAATGTACTGCAATGCTATTTAGTTAGTTCTGTAATCCTGTGAAAGGAAAAGCTGTTCTGTAGTTTGAAGAATAACATGAAACATAGTTGCATAAAAAGCTCTTCCTGAAAATGCCTGTTCAAAAATGTATTTGACAGTACACAAATACTTTGAAACAATATGGAGCAAACTAACCACTGAAATACCTAAGTTATCATGAAAATCGTTCCATAGTTATTTTTAAAGATAGTGAAATAAAGATTAGATCTGTTGCATGTCTATTGTCCAAACGAGATCAAACTTGATATCCCCCAAATTTATTATCCTGTTATCTGCCTGAAATAAAAGATAAGTAGGCAACACAGTGTTTCAGCATTCGAGTGTGCAGGTAATGAAATACAGAATTTCCTGTCGTAACTCTGAATTTATCTCCTCTGAGGGAAAAAACCCTTTTTTTTTTTTTTGGTAGAAATATTGTACCTATGTGATACTTTCAACAAAAACAGAATAACAGTTGAGACAGGTGAGAGAGACAGGTTTTGAAGTGTTTATGTATTCAGCAGCATTGGAAATTTAGGAAAAGTAGTTGTGTTGTATAGTATGCAGATGGCATCTGAATGAAAAATCAGGAGAATGTGGATATATTTGGTATAAATTTGGAGGGGTTTGATAGCAGGGCTTCAGGGTAAGCTGGAGAGAGATCACGAACTACCCAATGCCAGTATACAGTCACAGAGTTAGAAGTGCAAAATATCTATGTCAGAGTTGTGTGGGTCAGGATTTGAAACTTTGTATGCATCAATACTGAATTTTTAAAGTTTCCTTTGATGATATGCTGTAACTTAACAAAAAGCAATTTGCAGTTAACATAAAATTCTGTTTAAATATCTACATTCTTGTTTTTCTTATGATGTAACACACACTAAATACATCAGTCTTTCCAAGTTGTGATAGTTTGAAATTTTTGAGTGTAAGAAATAGTGCAACAAATAAAATCTCAGTCTTCATGTTTGATGACAGTACAAACTAAATATTCTACAATTTTATTCCTATTTCATCTTTTATCAGTCTCCCCTACACTTGTTACTTCATGACTGTTTCCTTTCCAATAGCTCTCAGTATTTGTTTCAGGCCTTAAGGTGCAGCAATGTTGTTGTTACTGTGCAAACCTCCTTACAAAGGGTTTTTTTCTTTGCAGGCAGTAATCGGTAATCACATACTGTGTTTCTGAAATTACTCAGGTGTGGATTTCATGCTTGAATAATTCAGGTGGCTGGCTTTATTATCTTTCAGTCTTAAACCTTTCCTAGCGGTGATATGTAATCACCTTTTAATCTCGGTTTCCTTGTAGGGCTTTTAATCCAAGGAAATGAATGGATTTTCCATTTGCTTGAGAGTGCCGCTGTGTAGAACACAGGAGCGGTCTGGAAGTGGGGAGCTGTGCTGCCGGGCAGCCCGAGCTGCACCATTGTGCCAGCGAGTGCATAGCAGGGGCTTTATTATAGCGAGCTCTAAACATAAAAGGAAGCCCACCAGTAAATCACTCCCTGATTAATTTTTTTTTCCTTCCCAAAGGGCTTCAATCATTCCCAAGTATTCGTGAGGGAAAGGCAGTGTTGCGCTCGGACAGGAAACTATGCACTAATAGAAAATAGCGCACATGCCTCCGTGCCTGGGATGCAGTTGCTGAGCAGAGTTCAAGGCTGTGTTTTTCTGACTTTTGTGTGCAGACTCGGTTCAGCTCGGTTGTAACGTTGCGTTAACGCAGCCTTTTGCATTTACTCAAAAAGAGCAAGCTCTCCATTGAGCTCCGCTAGAACATCGAGACTCCGGGCATTGTGTAGGAGAATGACACCAAGGGAAAGGAATTTCCCTCCTCTCAGAGATCAGCGCTGCAGGAGCATTACAGGGGCAGCTTTATAGCTCTGCCGTCACTGCGCACAATGGAGAGGGCTCTGTCTGTCGGCTGAACAAAGGGCCCATTGTGACCAGCTGGCTGAAGAATCTCTTCAGTCACCGTGACTCCATCACAGAAAATTTGGCTTACAAGAAAATATTGAGCACAAAGTGCGAAACAAGATGCCTGCGTCAGAATGAGTGATAGGGGGGAAGAACTGGCCAAGCTGACACAGCAGCTCTTTTTCTATTGTATTGTTACACACACCCCATGTGTCATCTGATGGAGTGGTTTACTGCCTTTGGTTTCATAAGGGATTCAGGACAAAAACCAGAACCTAGAGTTTATTGTGAGGTCAGACCATGAAAACCAGGCCCATCCAAATGTACGACGCGGCGGGGATCTCGTTCCCGTCCAATTCCTACTGATAGCCACCCACTCGCAGTGGTTGCTGCACGGGCACTCGCTTTTCACCAGCGCACGGAGCTCTGCTGCGCTTTCAGGCTGCTGCACTCAAATCAGCGTCCTCTCAAAGGCATGATTTCAGTTTTCACTCCTCAGAGTGTCTCTGGCTCTGACCGCACGGCTTAGTCCGTGTCACAGTGTTACTGTCACTTATTTTGTGACTCTGTTTCGAGGCAGCGCACACCAGCTGGATTCGGGTCAATGACAACATGAACAACCTGGGCATTTTAGTAGGGCCTGTGTAACAGGTTATGCTGGGTTACTGTCACATAAGCTGGTACTGTTGTAAACAGTAGCTGGCAAATACAAAAATGCTGGCTTTATAATCTGCCTGTGGTTCAAGAGGCTACTCCTTCCTAAAGCTGGTCTTTGTGGTGTGCATTTCTGTTTATGCCCCTGCTGGATCCTGACCCTGTCTTAACATTGAACAAATGGGGACATGTAGGAAGGGTTTGCAGCCCCACATTTTGTTTGCATGAGCAGATTCGGTTCTCACTAATAAGCATGAATATTTCTGAAATTTCATAGGAAAATACTAATTCACTTTATTAAATGCACACTTTTAAACCACATGGTTTTGTGGTTTTATTCTATATTATTTTGATTTAATTGTCTGTAATATATTCTGCATTTAAGGCAGCATACGAATGTAGATTGTCTGATTTGACTGCTGACAGGAAATAACCCAAAGCATTTTGAAGTTAAACTGTAAGTGAAACCACCAATACATGTGCTCCCCATCTCATTGCTGTGTGCAGTTCTTTTTTCCTTCAAAAAGAGCTGTGAACTGGTCATCCACAACTCTGGCTAACAGTTCCTGCAGGATGCTGTGCTAGGCAATAGCAACTCCAGTTACAGGACACCACATTTTTACCTGAGTTCTGAAGTATCTGAAGTAGCAACATCTGGTTTTTCTGTGATCTTTTTCTTTTTCTTGAGGAAAACAGGGAGACAGAGATACTGTGCAAGATATGATGGTCTTGCTACATAATTTAGTATAAAATTTTTTCCAAGTAATTCCAAAACAAAAGAGCAGGGCAAGGAGGAGTAGGAACAGCTGGGTAGTTTTCTGAAGTTAGTTTTAATTGAGACAACTTTGCTTACTTGAAAGAAAAAAGTAATTTTCAGGAAAGCGTTGAAGAAATAATGAAAGCTTTCTTTCACTGATGATGAGCAATCTCAGAAATGCCACAGAGCAGAGGCAGAAGTAAATCATGTTATGTTCTCTTAAGCAGAAGCTGCTATTCTTCCACAAATCCTCACTGTAAGCCAGTCTTGGTGGTTTTAAATGTAAAATTTCTATTTGTGCAAGTTAGAAACATGTTTCAGGGCTAACAGTTTTTCTGCTTGTTGCTTGTGTGGCAAGAAAGTGTTGTTACATCATCACTTCTTCAGTTTCTTGAGGTTGAAAAGTACTTTTTCCACCAAAATAGTTGTAATTACTTTTTATTTTGACTGTTCTTATTGTGGACCTCTAAAGCTCATGGTATTGTGGTTTCTTTTTCTCTGCTGCTTTATTCTTCCAGCATTACACGCTGCTGCCCTTTCTGGCCACGTCAGCACAGTGAAACTGCTGCTGGAGCACAAAGCACAGGTGGATGCTCTGGATGTGATGAAACACACCCCGCTCTTCCGAGCCTGTGAGATGGGTCACAAGGAGGTGATTCAAACTCTCATTAAAGGTCAGCTCTCAGGGCTTTATAAACCTGTTCAGAAGTTCTGCTGCTGCTTCCTGTGGGGATGGGAAATAAACAGCTGAGCAAGAGGTGGGGTAGGAGATTGCTTCCCTAAAGCAGGTTTTGTTTGCAAGTTCCCCTTGTGAAACGGCCCTAGTGAATCTAAAAGATTATCAGTGTTGTGCAAAAATGGCTAGATGTGTTAAGTACAAAATTTTCAAAACTGGGATTGTTCTTTTCAAAGCTCATTTCTGCTCATTTCTTTGCAAGTACCATCTAGTCTCCCAAGCTAACTCTTCCCCCTGAAAGTCCTTTCTTTCTTTTGTTTTTGTTTGGCAGGTTTTTTCCCCAGTAAATAAGACCAAATTAAGCTTTCTTCACTTTTGTGAAAAACCATTTTTAGGGTTCTTTGAAGACATTTTAAATGAGTCTTTATTTTTTTAGTGTAGATAGATATCAAAAGTCCTACATCATTAATATTTTCTTCTGGTTGGTTTTTAAAAACAATATTTTGTTTGTAGACAGAAATAGGATTTAACAAAGTACACAGTTTTAGATAATTGTAAAGTATCTCCTGAAGGGTAAGAAGTACAGTGAAAGAACAGTGGCATCCTAGGTGCAAAATTCTGTCATTTTAGCTTCCCAGAAACATCTCCTTCTTGCTTCAGACATTATCCCACTTATGGATAGATGAAGTATCCAGGCTAAAGTTTACAAGTTTTCCATCAACCACCCTTTCTTACTGAAAAGTGTTCTTCCTTCCATGATCTGCTGGATGTATTTTAACCTCCTATTTAGCTCTTCCTCCCACTCCCTATGCCAATTAGCTTTTGTAGATGGAGGAAGCTTGACTGTTGGAATCTGAGTTGCGTTTAATTAAATATTTATGATATAGAGAGTCATTGTTGCTGGTTGGTTCAAGTTCTTGTATCTGTGGAGTTTTACTTCTGTACAGAATTTTTACATCTTGCAGGAACATATAGAGACATTAATTATCTGCATAACAGAGTCTTATAATGTTTGAATTTTAAAAAATAAGCTTATTTTAAAAATTATTATTACATTTTAATAGTATTTTATCTTGTCTGCTTTAGAGATTTAAAAAGACATTTAATCTGAAATCTAATTTTTAGAAGTTATTTTGTTGTTAAAGAAAAGTTCTGAAAATTCACAGACCTGAAACAAATAAAATAGGCTTTTCGTAGGCAGTTAAGTCTGGATATCCTAAAGCATATTAGAGGATAGTCAGAAGATTGTAAAACATTAGATGCTTGACCCTCTCTGAAACTATTTCATTCCCAATTAATTTTGATTTAAGTTTTAGGATCTGAGTAACAAAATTGAAGTTGCTTTCTGAAATACTTCTCTGAATTGTCAGTTTATGAAATAAGTTCTAGTTGAACATAAACTCACTATTTTCTTAGCATTCAACAATATCTTCTTTTTGTGCTCAAAAATGTATGTTTTTACAGGAGGAGCAAGAGTAGATTTGGTTGACCAGGATGGGCATTCACCCCTCCATTGGGCAGCCTTGGGAGGAAATGCTGACGTGTGCCAAATCCTGATAGAAAATAAAATCAACCCTAACGTGCAGGATTATGCAGGTAGAACACCTCTGCAGTGTGCTGCTTATGGAGGTTACATTAACTGCATGGTAGTGTTGCTGGAAAACAATGCAGATCCAAATATTCAGGATAAAGAGGTATGTTGTTCTTTTTCACTGAGGTACATCATTAACTTTAGAACAACCATAAATCAAAACATTTTCCTTTTCTTCAATGTCATTCTCTTTTCCAGGACATAGAAACATCTGTGTTGCTGTTTGTCATGAAAAGAAATGCATCCTGAAGTCATTTCCCCTGTTTCCTTTTAAAATCTCAAAAGAAAAGTAGTATTTTAATATGTAGCATGAATTGAAGATTGATATTTTTCCAGATCACTTTTGGTTTTTCCATATCGAAGTGAGATCATATGAGGAGTCATATTAATGATCTGATTTCTTCTATAATTCCTTATTAACAGCTGGCATGAGAATGTGATTTTAGTCTGCTCTCCAGAATAGAGAGAGCAAGTAAGAAAGTAAAGTACTGCAAGTGAGATTACACAATAAGTGCTTCAATTGCTTGTCCACATTAGGCACCCACATATGTATCTCTCTTCCAGGTGAAAAAAAAAAAACAACCCACTGATTGGTTTCTATGTTCTTTTGTGCCATTATTCAGGCAGTAATTGAAATTAGGAGCCAGAATAATTGTGCAACCTATAACAGATTTCTTTGTTATATGACATAATTTCTCAGAAGTCAGTAGAACCTCATCAGTCAAAAGAGCTTCACCCAATTTATCGAAATTTTCTGTAGCTATTTGTTGTAGGGCATAGACAATTCTGGGTAATGGAAATGTGGTTTTCGTTATGAGTTCTACAGAGCATGCTGTACATCTTTTGCAAAGAAACCAACTGTAAGGCTAGTCTTCTAATGTTGCTTTTCAGCTGTTTTAGGTGAAAAAGCACTGGTGTTGAAATCTTGTTAAAAATATTTTTTTAAGTGCTGTGTTCTTTTTATTTTAACAAGGAAGTTTATTTAGATCTGTTTGTTCTTCATGTCCAGAAAAGCATAGAATTACACTATGATTTATGACTTTTATTGTGGCGTGGTAGAGTTTGGGGGTAATGTTTATTTTTGTCCTGTTCTATTGTTTTCCAGGGCAGAACTGCCCTGCACTGGCTCTGTAACAATGGCTACCTTGATGCTATAAAGTTACTGCTGGGCTTTGATGCTTTCCCCAACCACATGGAGAACAGCGAGGAGAGGTATTGTTGGTCTCAAGGTGTTATTTTGTAATTGTGCCGAAGTGCTGCCTTCCATTTAAATGTTAAATATGCAGATGCTGCATGAGAATCCTCATCTCATATCTCAAAGCAGTGTTGTAACGCAGGGCTTCAGTGTAAGCAGCTTTTCTGATGTGAAAGTTCCCTTCTTTAACTAAGACATTCCAACTTTTATACTTCTCAACCGCCTTCTGGAGGTATTTAGTCACTCAAGTCTTGTTGGAAATATTAAAGATCTTTCTCATTTATATAGAGTGATGGCAGATATATATGGCCAAAAGATGAAAAGGCAGTTCTGCTGCTGTTGGAATAGACTGGAATTTTACATTTGATATAAATACAGCAAGAAGAAAGAAAATGGGAGAAACGTAATTTTATGTTTTAAAATGGTGATTACAAAGTACCTGGTGGTTACTGGTATTCTAAAGGCGTGGTTTTTTAAAAAAAAAAGTCTCCTATAATCATAAAGAGACAGCACATTTGCATCTCTTTTCTTTGTCTTTCATTGACATATAAATAATAGATTTTTAAAAGTGATTTGGGTTGTGGAGTTTGAATTAGTCACCTGACCATAAAGATAATTACTATTAGCAGAAATTTCTAATGCCTTTTTGTAGAGTAGATGACCTCCTCATAATTATGAGATTATGAACAACATGCCATATAAATTTGAATATTTCAGCATTTTAAATAACTTAAGGCTTTTGCAACCTCATATTTCAATTTGAGACTTCTGTACTTAACCCCACGTTTTAATTGCTTTCTTCCCCTATCATTTTTTCTTTCATTCTCCTCTCTAAAACACTCGGATCTCTCTTCCTATTCTGTTCTTATTTTTTCTTGAGAAACATAAATGAAAGTATAACTAGTTTCTAATTAAGTAGTGTCAAGGCTCTCTTTAGTAATTTTTGATAGAAAATTGAATAAACAGTTTTAATTAAATTACTTTTAATAAGTAAGATTAAAAGCCACCATTTTGCCACACTGCTGTTATCCTTACTTTGTAGAAATGCGCTCATGATGCTCAAATGTCAAGAAAATACCTTAGCTGTGGTTTATCACAGTCATTCAGATAGTATATATTTTTGTTTCCCTTCTGGAATTAATATATATTTAATGTGTAGATCTAGATTAATCAAAATACAACTAGCAGTATTCCAAATGTCTGCTGATAAGCACTAGTGCATGTGCAGAACAAAAGAGATCCCCAGTATTTCTAGATGGATCAATCTTTAAATATCATTGTCCTAAAATACATATAAAATATAAAAATTGCATACTTTCATCTTGATAAATATCTACAAACTGTGTTATTGTTAAGAGATTGGAAGTTTGGAAAATGGAAAATCAAGTTGAGTGTTGTAAGAGAGAGGAAAAAATAACCTCATGGATATGGTTCACCTGTAATTGGATGAAATTGTTTTTTAATCAGTAATAATTTCACTGCGTAGTGTTTGGGGTTTTTTTTCTAAATATTCGTATAGGAAAAAAAGCTTCCGTAATTTCACTACGTAGTGGTTTTTTTTTTTTTTTTTCCAAATATTCGTATAGGAAAAAAAAGCTTCCCTTCTTTACTTTCTTACAGTGTGGTATAAGATACCAGTTAAAATTCAAACAAAGTGGTTATAACTAAAAGATTAGAGAAAAGATAGATCTGAGATTGCATCAAGAGTTTTAAAGTGCCCACTCGCTTGCCAGATATGTGATCAAGTGCTAATCTGGAGGGTATTTGGTTTGTTATTCTTTGCAAATTTATTTTGTAATCCAGCTTAATGTCCTGGGTGCGTCAAGCTGCTGCTTGACCACCTTCATGTTAAATTGCCTATAACAGCTGATGGCTGATGTCTTCATGTGTTACCCTGTGAAGCCAGCTTGATTTAAAAGCTATCTGCTTTAGACAGAACCAAGGGAAAAGGAAATTTACATCAAGCTTTGAACTGACACAACAGAGGAGTGTATGTATGTCCAGTCATAAAAACCCTTCTTCAGATTTGATTTAACTGATCTTTTTACTTTCAAAGGTAGCTTGGATGGAGTTAGAGAATTGAGAATCCACGTATAAAAATATGGATCTTCATGACTGCTAAAGTAAACCGCATAAAGTTTGCTTTAGTATCTCTTGTGTCTTTAAAGTATTCAAATTAGGAATACTTCAAAAATGTGCTTTTCTGAAATTCCCATTCTGAAGTTCCTATTCCTAGGTTATCAAAAATCTGTATCTCTTTAAATGCCATCAGCAGCACACCTTGACATCCAAATTTTCATGTTATGTCACTGTCTTTATTCCTGCAGACACTTCAGTTCAGATACTGTTTATCCTTCCATCAAACCATTGCTGTGTGGCAGGTCCAATTGTGCTTTCTGTCTGTTTTTCTTTGCTTACCAGCACTGCGTCCCAGCAAGTTACCATCAGCAAGAGCCCTAATTCTCACAATCACATGCATTGACACTTGTTATTGGATAGCCTTATGTTACATGGTCTTGATTATGGTTTGTGACTGATAATTTTCAGTCATTAAATGTCTTTCCCTGAAGTTTCAGTGTTGGTGAGGGAGGTAGATTTTCCTCCCATGTAGACAATGGGAAATTTGGGAATTATTTTGAAAAAGGCCTAGGTGTCTTTGCTACCATTAAAACCCAAAACAATTTAATATTTTGAAGACCTGTGTCCATTTGAAAACAGACTTTAAGTTTTCCTAGTACCTTAAAAAAGATATTACCCTTCAATATGGATCTGCTGCTCTGTCATAGTGTCTTCAATCGATGTTATAGAAACTAAACCAGACTTGACAGTAGCTTTCTAGAACTTAAATGCATATGGAAATAACAGAAAAATGTTTTAACTTACCTTTTCTTTTATTTCTGTATGAAAACTTCAACAACACATTTTTAAGACTGCTTTTCTAAAGCAGTTAACGCTGTGGATGGGACTTTGGGAGATTTAGTCCAAACACTTCAGGTTCCCCTCTCCCAGCTTCCATATTAGGAGGCCAAAATAAGCTTTAAACATAACCACAGTGTGTAGAATGAGTAAGGTAGCAAAATAATGCCTAAAAAGATGAGAAAAACAGCCTACTGAAACAGTGCTTAATCTGTCTTCATGCTAGAAGTTGCTTTATTATGAAATGAGTGTGAAGAAACGCACATTATAGCTAGAATTCTAGATCAGTAGTAATTGTTGTGGCTTTTGGTTTTTTTAGGTATACTCCACTTGATTATGCCTTGCTTGGTGAACACCACGAAGTGATCCAGTTCATGTTAGAACACGGGGCTCTGTCTATAGCTGCCATTCAGGATATTGCTGCTTTCAAAATTCAGGCTGTCTACAAAGGATACAAAGTTAGAAAGGCTTTTCAGGAGAGGAAGAATCTTTTAATGAAACATGAACAGCTGAGAAAAGATGCTGCTGCCAAGTAAGTCTGAGACTTAAACCTACTCCAGCACATAGACATTTAGTTTGTATTTATCCATGTATGATTTTATCTGTTGCTCATCGGTTTTTGTTCCTCTTGGTAAAATTAATGAAATAAAAGGAAGCATATAACTTGCATATAACCATAGACAGATGGAAGCTATTTTCCATATAATCCCAGTTTAAATAACAAACTTTGTATTATATACCAAAGCAAGGCAAAATACTAAAAGTTGAGGAAATAGCATTTTAGTGTCCATGAATCTTTGCCTGATATTCTGCATGATAAAATGGCTTGGAAAACATTTTTCACTTTAAGGTAGTGAAAATCATTATTTGCCTATCAAGTCTTGATATCCGTTTTGAGCAGAAATTAATCAGTAGCTGAGGGAAAAAACCCAAAAACAAACCGGGGGAAGCCTGGTTTAGTAAGGCTTAACTTAATGTTTCTCTAGTAACCTGGACTCCTGGTTCTATTTTCAACTTCATTTTGGGCCTTATTATTCTCTGCACTTATATTTTCTGCTCTTGAATTCCTATGAATTGAGTTCCTATGAATTGGTTATGATGGATTACAGCTAACTAACATATGCAATTCAAATTGTTGTCAGCAAGATGTATAGGTTCTGGCTGAATTTCAACCCAATTTAAATGTGGTAATGGTAGCACAGTGGTGAAATTCTAAAATCAGAAGGTACATAAATGATTATCACAATATGTTGCTTGCTTGGAATTTATCCTTAAGATTCTTAGTATGAAATTAGCACCTGGTTTCTCTTGAAGAAATCTGATTCTGACATGAAAAACATAAGTCTGAAAAGATTTCTGCATGATTTGGGAGTATTATTTCAATAAAGAGAGATCATAATTATTGCACCTAGAGGTATTTTTGCTGCATCTGTGCATCACAGAAATTCATCCACACTCTGCTCTGTATCAAATTTGGTAGTTTGATGTTCTGCATAATTGGCCAGTCAGACCTTCATTGGATTTGATTGCTGCTACTATAAAACAATTATTATTCCCCAGGAAGAACCAAAGCTAAAGAAATACCAGATAACTCATCTCTTACTCACATCTCTACATCCTGAAGTTGCAACCTGTAGCTCTCCTACTGTTTGCCTTTTCTGCTGAAATCAGTGTAAGTCAAAACTATGCGTGGAGAAGCTGCCCTGGAAAATATTTCCTTTTAGTGTGGAGAGCTCTGCGTATTGCTGTGTGGTCACAACTGACTTTACCAAATGAGGTAGTTTTATCCTTTGTGATGACAGTCATTTTTAGAAGAATCTCTGATCCACCATGTAGAAGATTAAATGGAAAAGCATTGCCTCATGGAAATTTGGGGGTATTTTTATAATAGTTTTCCTTTGTGAGTTTTTGATGCAGTTTCTGAAACTTACTTAGCTGTTGTTGATTTGTTTGAAAACAATAGAAACAAAGTCTGTGTACCAAATACCATAAAAAGAGAATTACAGTACAATTGGAGTGTACAAGCAAATCAGGTTGTCACATAACAAATTTTATTTAATTGCAATTTTATGGTCTGTAATAAACTGAAGGGGACATTATGTTGTCATCATTCTGCATACCCATCTGTGCATTCCACAGCTGAAATTGGCCAGGGTGTTCCTGCATACAGAAAACTATTATCCCTACTGTTGTTTAAAAATCTGGTCTCCAGGTAAAAGGAGACATTATGTGGGGATCCTGAATGATGGTGAACTCCTAGATTGAAGACACACAGCCTCTCCCCAACTACTTCAGTGTAGATATTTAAATTTGCTTTTTGATAAGTTACTTTAGAGAGTCTCTTAAGATAAATCACTCCTAAATGTATTTGGGTTTGGATAGTCTGTTCTTTTTCTGTTGTTTTTTTTGTGGGTTTTTTTTTTTTTTTCCCTTTTCACAGTAACAAAAAGTCACCCAGCATCTCATACCTCTATTATTTTCTGGTAAAATTACATTCACTGTATTTAAAGCCTATGAAATATTTCTATACAAACATCATCTCCCGTCTTTTCTCCTATATCAAAGAAATTGTATTTTATAAAATGGAGTTTGATGAAGGCCAAAACAACATGCACACTGTTATGTCACTGAGCAAAGAGATGCACCAGGGGACCAATGTGGGTAACCTTGACAGAGCTCAAATGTAAAAATGCAGCTCACAGAAGGCAGAAGCTGGGACAGACTGCAAAAGCAGAGTGTAAATGCATTGCTTAGGCATGTACATGGTGTCCGAAACACCAAAACTCAAATAGAGTTGAGACTTCAAAGAAATGTTGCAGATTACAAAGTGAGTTTGTGCTTCTATGTTAATAAAAATAGTAATACATTAGTAAAAGGAATGAGTGGGGGCCTGTTGCTGAATGGTGCCTTTGGTTACAACAGACACAGGTGTGTGGCAGAAGTACCCAGTGCCTTCTGTTCCTCAGTCTGCCAGAAGGTCTTCCAGGACTCTTTGCTCAGAGAATTGGTTCAAGGAGGAGCAGAACTGCCAGCTGTGAATAAAGATTAAGTGAGGTTTGAGAGAACTCAGCCCAGATAAGTCCATGGGACCAGATTGGTTGCATCCAAGGGTACAGAAGGAACTAACTGATGCCCTTAAAAGGTCATTTTCCAATGTCTTTGAAAGATCACAGAGACCAGGGAGAGTCCCCTATGATGGGAGGAAAGAAAATGTTGCACCCAGCTTCAAAAAGGGCCAAAAAAAAAAAAATCTGGGGAACTGTAGTCTGGTCAGTGTTTCTGGTCTCTGGGAAACTTTTAACAGGCAAAAGTTGGGATGAGAGATTTTGCCTGGAAATAAAGATAAATTATTTCACCCTTGGGACAATCAACCAGTAGAACAACCCAAAGAGATTGTATGGTCTCTGTCCATAAAGGTTTTCAAGACATAATTGGGTAAAAACCTGAGCCACCCAATCTGACCCTGTTTTGAGCAGCCTGTTAGCCTTGCTGACTTCCTGAGATCCCTTCCAGACTTTAAAAAGAGGATTTTGGTTTATTTATTGCAAAACCAGGTATTTAAGAAAATAATATTTATGTGTTTAAAACATATTCAGAGAAAACTAATTTCCAGTGTATTGAATTTTGAAAGGGATGCAGAACTCATTCCTCATTTGTTCACCTCCCCTTTCAATTTCTCAGGATGAGTTCCTGAATCCATACTTCTGTTTTTCATTCTGGCCAGTTGAAGGAAACTGATTGAGAATGTGGATGTGAAAGGGAAATGGATGAAAGTGAGTAAGTAGCTCATGATATTTAGGAAGAGAAGAACAGGAAGAAAATAAGAAGTTCAATTAAACAGCCTTCAGTAGATTTAGAAAAATATTCTCATACCAAGAGAATACAAGTAGATTATGAGGTTTTTCAGAAGACTGGTGGTTAGCCCTGCATGCTGAGGAAAGATAGGGGAGTGTGGCAACAGAGAAAATAATGAGCCCTTCAGCAACCTGAAAAGGGAAAGCACATATTGGAAATTTGATGTAATTACTAAAATTGACAGTAATAAGAACACGCAATGATAAAGCTAAACAAGCTGAGGTGCTAAATAAGAACTGACAAAGGATGTGAGGTAGGTATCACAAAAAAACCATTGTAAACCTACTCATTGGAAAAGGAAGAGTAAGGAACCAGTTGGTCCATGAGAGATGCTAAGTAGACTGAACTGTTCTGTGGGATTTTTTTTTACACTTCAGAAGAAATTACATCAAACCAACTCAATTTTCTTTCGTGTCTGAATAACAAGTTTTGTGGCCATGGAGAAACAGTAGCTGTCATTCAGACTTGCCTGAAGTCTTCATACTTCCTCAGGGGCAATTTCTCATTTGTCACCTTTAAACTGGAAGTGTGTATTGATGAGAATTTCACATAAATCCATCATGAATTTGTATTTTCATTTAAGAAGTAAACTTGAATTTGAAAATAGCACCAAGATGCAGAAGATTGTAAGCACATTGAAGACTAAATTAGAAATCAGAATGGTGGTAAAATAAATGCAAGAAATTACTGAGGAAAAAATAGGCACTTAGGTAAGAACTAACAGACTGTTCTACACATTTGGGAAGACCCATCAACATAGGAATGCTGGACAGAAAATAACTGTTGTCTTGACATTTTTATTAAGAACTGTCTGTTTAAAAGGTAGTTACAGATCAGAATCTGAACACATCATGAGTCAGTGGTATCATTCTTTTGAAAATAATCATCATGCTAGATTGTGTAGCAGGAGATGCTGTTTATACAACATGAAATATAACTGCTCTTAGTCCAGAGAAAGCTCTACCAGTAATAGCATACCTGGAGATCTATTTTCAGTCGAGATTTTTAAAGTAAGTTTTTGGGGTCTTCTTGCAAGGATAACTTTAAAAACACTCTCCTTTAAAATATCCTTCAGTGTGTAGATAAAAAAGTTAAGTTTCTATTCTTAACAGAATAGAAAAGGTTGAATTCATTTTAGCAGAATTAAAAATTCAAAACATCTCTGTGTCTTCATAGATGTGTGCGTAAGGCTGAAACTGTTCCTTTCCATCTGCTAAAGGCTCAGTTTTGATTCTTTCACTTTTGCAACAAAATGCAAACTTATGACCATTCAAGACAAAATTGTGTTGCATTTACAATGGAAAATGTTGGCCTGCCAGTTCTGTTACCACTGTTGAGCTGTCTGACTTGAGAGCCCAAATTTGGATCTTGTTGAGTTCGCCAGAACCTCCTGAGAATGACTGAGAGTTAGAAGTTAGAACCTGAATTTAGAAACTCGTCTACTTCCTTCACTTGTTCATGAAACCTAGCCTCTCAAATTGGACAATAGTAAAACTTAGAAATTTTAATTTCAAAGAGATCCTTCACTGTAATGCAAACTGAATTTCTGATTAAATAAAGCAAAACACAAGGGGAAGGTCTTATGTATTCAGGAGTCTATTATTCAACTAAGCTGTACTGTGACAATTATGATGGTGCTTTATGAATAGGGAACTTTGAAATCCCCTCCCTTTATTCTTTCTTTAGTTTAATCTGAAAAATTAGCACACAGATAAGACCTTTAAAGAAAAAAAACACCACTTTTTACTTCTTGGTTTCTGTTCCTGTCTCATTTCAATAACTTTACAACTGGTGTGTTGCTGAAGTTATTGTTTTGAGTTTATCTGCTCATCAGGGGAGTGCAGGTCACTCCAGCTTGATTGGGTATCACACAGCCCATCTCACACTTCCTTTTCTAATAGCCTGAATAGAGGACATTAGTAACAGGCTGCCTCTTCTTGTGAAGAATAGAAAATTACTGTTCTGTGAATAGCAAGGTCTGATTTATCAGCTCAAATGGCACAGTAATGGCAGTGAGATCCATACTGTACACAGTCCCAACATCCCTGCATAGTCCGGTTGTGGAATGCCAATATTAATGGAAAGCAGCCACTTTTTTTTCATGCCAGAGGGAATACTGAATCCCAGGCTGCTAGGAGTGTATTTTTTTAGATCAATTAGCAGCTTTTCAGGTGCAAAGTTCAATCAGCTTCTTCTGCAGAGCAGAGTTGATAAGATAGCACTGACAGATCAAGTTAGGGCTTCTCGCTGGCAGCTCGCGCTGCAGTGACACGCGCTGGCAGTGACACCACTCACAGGAACTGGGGCTGGCGTGCTGCATAACTCACCTGTCACACGCCATGCTGGGAGGTGATGTGGCAACAGTCTGCACACTGTGTTGGAGCACTGGAAGCAAGTTAAAATACCAGGCAGCTACATGATACGGCATTTACCGCCTGTCCGTTCCAACAGGAAAAGTGTCACTTCATCCAACAACCAGGGCTTAATTTATAAAAATGAATTCAGTGGGAGGTAGGTATGTAACGTTTGCCATGTGCTATTGGGTTTATTCTGCTTGGTAGGAACAAGAATTTAAAAGATGAAGTCCAACGACAGCCCACTATATTTCAAAATGGGCTGTGAAATTTTATTCAATGGATGCACCTTTCTTAATCTGTCCAAAATTCTCTTTTGTAGCTACATCATTAAGAGGTGCATGACTTATTTAATTTTGGAAATCCAAATGTTGCCATTGTGATTGGCATACTATGTGCAAATTTTTAATTCACATCTCATATTATCAGTATTTGTCATTTAAATGACATAGAATGTTTCTGTAAAATTAATTATCCACTAATGACAAATACATAGCAGCAAGTTAGTACCAGTAGCTAGTTCAAAGTTGGTTTATAGTTATCTGTATTGACACATATAAGTACAAAAAAAAAATTTTCAAAGATAGTGTCTTATGTTAAATTTTTTTGCTTTTCTAATATAGTGCATTTCATTACTGCTCACATGAAAATATTGCTCATTAGTAATTACAAACACAGTTATTAGCGTCGTGATTCTTTTTTAAATCCTGCTTTTAATTTTTGTCTATTTATAAAACCCCCTAAATTCAGTTGTTTTCAATAAGTGAGTGTGTTGAGATCAGTCAAAACAACTGCAAACTGAATGGGCAGCTGGCTGACAGGGACTTAACCTTCATCAGGCTGTAGCTGCAAGTCACTTGTTGTTTTGGATCAAGTTAAGACATTTCAGTGCAATATGTGTCCTTTTCTCACCAAAAAAATGTCAAATCAAGGATTTGTTGTGGCAGCGTCAGATTTTTAGAGAGGAGTGTGTTCAAGTTAAATATGTGCTCCCAGGATTTAATCTTCAAAATTCTTATGGTATGGACTGTAATTGCAGGAAACGTGAAGAGGAAAGTAAGAGGAAGGAAGCCAAGCTGCAGAAAGGGATGCAGAACGTGGAACAAAACAAGTTTCAGGTACAACAGAATCCTGCAAACTGGGAGAAGGCCACCAGTGTCCCAAGGTTACCCAGCAAAGCAGCTGACACACAGAGCAAGAGGCTTCTGTCCCTCAATGCTTCACAGATCCAGCCAGGGAGAAACAGCAGAGGTTCACCTAAAGCTGGTCATGACAGAGGGACCCCAAAGGAGAGCTGTCTGTCAGCAGAGCCTCAGAGCGAAAGTCATAAGATCAGGCAAGGTTTGTGATCTTTTTAAATTGTGCTGTTTATCTGCTTTGTCCACTTCTTGGGAGTATTTTATACATAGAATCTATTTTGTCCTTCTGTGATTTCATATTCTTTCATCACTTGAGCAATTTGTGCAGCAGGGTAGGATAGATAGTTAGATACAGTTAGATACAGTTAGATACAGATTCTTTCACTCTGGGTGAAGTAGTGAAAAACAGCAGTACAGTGTCTTACAGTGTCTATAAAAATTCCTAGAATATATGAAAACAGGCTGTGGGCAATTGTTCTATTAGTTGCACCATTCAGAGAAAATAAGATTGGAGATATTTGACATATCTGTGGTGCACATGAAGAATGTAAATAGAGAAATAGTAACTCTTTGGTTTTTAAGCTAGCTTTATCCTCTCGTTCAATCCAACTGGTGTTTGAAAGAATGCTGTGCCTTTTTTAGGTATGCATTCTCTTTTTGTTACTGAAGTGATGCCAGGAAAGTTGATGCAACAAGGATCAAACCATGAAGTTGTATAGTCAGTTCTCATTAGGTGTTTTAATCAGTCCTCTTGTGACCAAAACTTTAATGGACTTAATTGGTCATTTTATTGGAATTAAATGTAAATTTAGACCCTTTGGGCTGTGAAAACTGTGATTCAGTTGTTGGGTGTTTTCTGATCTGGTTATCCAGTCAAAAGGGTATCCTGGAAAGGCACTACAAATACAGCATGGTTTCATCAGGTTTTGGATGACCCAGGTGATTTTCTGGAATGACAGTATATCAAAGACCTCTTCCTTTTCTTTTTCCCCTCCTACCTGCCCTGTAACATCCTGTCTGTTTTGTTTCATCCTCTCTGGTCTATTTTTTCATTCTGCCGTTAATTTCCAAGCAAAATGGAAGGTGGATGGAAGATGGGGAATTTTCAGTTTTGCACTCCAGTCTGGCTTCCAAGTCACCCTCACCAGAGTGTTTAGAAGCAGTGATCACACAGCAGCAAGGGAAAAATAGGAAGGACTTCATAATTTCATTCAGGATGTCAAGGGAAGTACTGAGAAGCCAAGTGCTTTGGGTTTCCTGGGTCAGTGGGTTATCCTGTGCCAGGATAGAGCAGGAGATTTTCAGGCATCTAACTCAAATGTAGTGTTAGAAAGAAAACCATTTGTACAACATTAAGCAAATGAAGGTGTTTGGGATTCTACTGTGACAGGCAATCATGTCCTCTTCTGATTCTTCCTGCTTGCATTTTTTGTGTTCATTTAAGTGAATCCTAATGTGCCCCAAAGGTAACTTAGCAAAAAACTCAGAGACATAAATTACGTTTTGCTGGGTCAGAGGCTGAATTTGTTTTAAATTTCTCTGTCTAAAGATTCATTGAGGAAACACATCAAAAGCAAGTCAAGTTGCGTCCATTTCCACTGTGGCAAAGCAAATGAGGGAACAAAAGCTGAAGTGAAACCTCAGGTTGCAGCTGCTGCGGAGCCGGACGGAGAAAAGCACAAGGAGCACGCTGTCGACACAACGGATGCCTGTGCTCGGAGGAGCAGGAAGCTTTCTGCTTCTGCCTGTAGGACTGCCAGTGCTGGGGAGAAGCTGAAGGATCTGAGTCAGCCTCCCTCTGGCAAGAGGGACCACGGTGAAGGAAGGGCTGTGTTCTTGTGTGATGCCGGTTGTACCGGTGGAATGACACGAAACTCAAAGCTGGGGGAAGCTTCTTCCAAAGGCAGAAGGCACCAGCAGAAACCCAGGAATAAAGAGGTAAATGATAAGAGATGTTCACCAGCTGGTTCTAGTAGACCAGGAAGTGCCAAAACAGTGTTTGTAAGCACCAGAAATGACAGCCTGCATGCTGCAGAACAAACTGTCAAAGTGGGAAACAATGAAATAGCAAAAAAGGCCTCTTCATTATTGTCTGCTGGGGCAGAACCTACCAGGACTGTGCCAAGAAACCCAGTAGCATGTTCTGCTTCTGATGACGGTTTGAACTTGGAAAAAACAGGCTTAATTGGATCCAGAAACGCAGATGATCAGTTATGTTCTGTTCCATGGCAAAGTACAAATATTGAACTAATCCCTTTAGAGATTCGAATGCAGATCATAGAAAAAGAAAGAAAGAGGAAGGAGCTTTTTCGGAAGAAGAACTACGCGGCCACAGTCATACAGAGGACGTGGAGAAGGTAAGATTACTGTTTCAGTGGCTGGAGAAGAGTGAGATACAAGTAGATGTAAATGAAACTAGGCTTGTGGGCATAAAATGTGCTTTATTTTGCCTACAATGTTGCCAGTGCTAAATGAGACAATTAATAATCTTTCCCCACGCAAGGGAAAGGGGGTTCCAGTGGCGTAGAATTACATTAGTAAGTTCATAAAAAGTGCAAGGTAAGTGATGACTTTTAATAATCATAGAAATCGTTAAACTTCTATTTCAAGCTCTGATATTTCTTTTGAGAGTGCAAATCAGGATTTGCCTAAACCTGGAGTTCAGTGACATGCTTGAAATTCTGCTCTGACCTAACATTTAACCAGATAACCAAACCACTGAATGTTTGGGAGCTTTGAGTGTTCATTGACAAAACTTGAAGGTAGCTTGAATACCTTGATTAAGCAGGTATTCATGAATGTATTCCATGCATTCATGAAAGCATTATCCTGCTTTCATGAATGTGTGAGTTTCAGCCACAGAAGTGCAGTCATTCTACAAGTATATGCTCCTTAATATTTAATTTCTTATCAAAACAGGCAGGAAGAGTATGTAAGGGAAGTATATAATATGCAAATTATTCTTATTTCTTGTTTTTATTTAAACTTTCTTTGATTTTACTGGATGCAGAAAACTACAAATTGCATACATTTACTAATATTCTTTCCAGGTCTCTCACTAGTTTAACAGTTTCTCTGAGGGACTCTGGGTTGAAGATGTCCCTGGCCATGGCAGGGAAGGTGGATGAGGTGGTCTTTAAAAATCCCTTCCAACTGAAACCTCTCTGTGGTTCTGACCCCATGCCATATTCCTCTGAACTGTGAGGAAAAGCAGCCACTTTTTCTCCCAGGGTTCCAGCCCTTCTGCTCTCTCTGCTGCTTTCTCCTTTGCCTTCTTTTCTGATGTAGGTCCCAAGTTCTTGTCTTATGGGTTCAAATCACTCAGATACCAAAAGCTCAAGGAAGCCAGGAGTAGGTTAGGAGAGTGTATCTGCAAGTGATGCTGCTGCTGGCTCTGCTGCTTTCACTCAACACCAGCTTAAAATTCTGTATTACAGGGAGGCAGGCACTTGCTGTGGCTTTAAGACAAAGCAGAGCCACGTGTAGCGAGTGCTTGTGCAAATTTCCTCACAAGAACCGGGATCCAAAGCCATGCATTAAGCTGCCTTACCTGCACAGAAATCTGCATCCCATTCCCACTACAGGTTTTGTATAGGCCTTTCGAAACTGTGCACCTGCTGGAGCAGGGATGGTGTGCATTCTCTCCAAGAAGTGCATGGCTTACTAACACTTTGCATTTTGGATATTGTGGGATTAAAGATTGTTTAAATTACATTTGTTATTTAAATACTTAGTAGTGAAAAATAAATATATTTGTTCTGTTTGCAAGAACTCATAGAACACTAAGATCATAAATTCTGCAAAGCTGCAGGAGACATTAGTCTGGCAGTTCTTCCACAGTCCTGTGTTTGCTTTTCTTCCAAACTTGCACATGGTAAATCGCATGTACTAGTAGACAGCAGTAAAATTATGCAATGTTACAGTGTAATTCTACATTAGAAACATGTAGAAGTACATGCTTGATTCTGGAATTTCTCTAAATTGGAACTAAGTGCATTTGTCTCTCTCTGCAAATTGTATAGTCTTGATTTACTTATTGAAGGCAAACACAACAGCCGAGAGGTACTGGTCTACCTAAGTGTATATTATACTTGCTGTTCTCAGGAGAATGTTTCAATTCCCAAACCTGCAAACTTTATAAATGTACTCCCCAAAAGTGTATATTCTAAGGTGTGTGGCTTGCCAAAGGTCAATTGCTTATCCTGCTCAGCGAGGCTTACACATTGTGTGTCTGCTCTCTCTCCTGGGGGGCACCAGGGCCTGTCCCATGCTCCAGGGCCCACAGGAAGCCGACAGAAGCTGCAATAAGTTGGTTGCTGTCACTGTTGTTCTCCCACTGGAGTCAAGCTGTGTTTTTAAAATATATTATTGCTGTGTGCATACTTTGGCCAGCAGTGGTTTTTAAGATTAGAGCTTCTGTAACAATGAGTGAGAATACCACTTGCCAGCTTTGTTGTTCTGCACGTGGATATTCCACTTTTCTTTTATATGCAGTTGTTTTTTTTGACTAAGCATCAGATATATTTTAAGGCACCATGTCAGATTCATATTGTATCAAACTTGGTCCCATTCTTCTTTTTTCTCACTAGGATCAGAATGATCTGAGAGAGCTGAATTAAAAAAATACAGATCACTTGCTTTACAGACAGCTGCTTACATCTTCTCAGTGTCAGAACCTCACAGTTCTTTTCTTGTTGCTAAAAACTACCAGAAGTGCTCTACAAACTTGAAATCACAGCTGGGTGCAAAGGTGCAGTGACTGTGAATGGGTCATTTCACGTATCAGCAAAGGCATCTGGCAGTAATTACTGAATTCCAGGAGAGTAGCTTAGTATTCTTTTCTGCTCCAGTATAAAACAGTTCCCCAATTGTTTTTTCTGCAGTTAAGTATTCACTTAACCCATCCTTAGCTCAAGTTATTTTAGCAAGTCACTGCAACTGTGATCTCTCTTCACTTTCTGTTCCTCTCTTACCATATTGAAAAATTGAAATTGGCATATTATTTAAGAAGACTGAATCATTTTTCCCTCTGTCTCAATAATACTCCTGTTCTGAATTCCTACCATGCTTCACAACTTGCAGGCCCTGACAAGATGCAGTTGCTGCCTGCATTTATGTACTTCAATGAGCTGCATAACAGTACATGCCTGAATTCTGAAGCTTCACTAAATTAAGATTAAATACATTTGTCTCACCCAGCAAATTTCAGAGGTAATTTACTAAGCTTATTGGAAGTTTAAAATTATTTGGGCTGTAATGGAGCATATCATCCCCATTTGGCATTCTATTGTGCTTTTATGTACTCATTTTTTTGTATATGGCTGCTGCTTTGTTTGAATTATGTAGTTCATTGGCTTAGAACTTATATTTAAACAATTTGTATTTGGTTTGTTGTCTTTTGTTTTAATGTAGAACTTGTTGCAGAGGGAACAAGAGAAAAAAATCACCTCTCTCTCTCTCCTTCCTCCTTTGCTTTATCACGCATCCAGCAGAAGCCTTTAGAACTTGTTGCAGAGGGAACAAGAGAAAAAAATCACCTTTCTCTCTCCTTCCTCCTTTGCTTTACCGCGCATCCAGCAGAAGCCTTTTTTGAATGCCAGAGGGGATGATGATCAATGTGTTTTGGCCTGTTACCAAACATTTATAATTAATATTTTACAAGTGTTACTCAATGCTCATTTGTGACAGGTTTGTACTGGGAGGATTCGGAGTTAATTGCTAAGCCAGTTAATTGACTTGTTGAGTGTGAAACGCCGATATCCGATTGAATACTTACATCCGATTCAAGAGGAAAAAAAACCCCAAACAACTCCGTGCTGCCGGTGCCATTTGCCACCGGAGTGTGAGGGACAGATAATCTGCTGCTGCCACTCGCAGAGGGATGTGACTGTGTGTAAGATCAAAGCAGCTGAGGCAAGGCTGGGTCAGAAGACAGGGAGCCTTTGAAGGGAAGGGAAAAAAATATTGATTGCTGAAAACAAGGTGAGGGGAGCATCTTCGGAGGAGGGGTGGAGAGCAGCTCAGTTTTCTGCGGAGGAAAAGTGCAGTGGAACCCACAGGAGGCAGATTTGGTTCGTCTCTTGCACTGATTGACTGAGGACATGAAGTGCTAAGGGCACACGAGAAAGTTTGGTGTTGTTGAGCTGTGGATGTACTGAAAATGAGGAAGCAGTACTGATTTTACTGTTACCATAAATATTTATAGTTTTGTCTTCTGCTGATTTTCTATTTAGAAAGCAGCTGATTGGCTGATGTTGAAGCACTGTAACTTTTGATACCAGTAATGCCAGATCTTTATTAACTGTGTGAAATAATGGATGCATCCAAAACTGAACCCAACTCCTGCTTTTTCTTCTGTACAAACATTTCTCGTCCAAGTGACTTAGCACATCAGTGGGAGTTCTGTTTTCCCAGTTACTCATGTAATCCACCACGTGAACTGATGCGTGGAAAGCACAGGAGTTAAAACAGGTCACCTAAAACAAGTGCTCTTCTCTTTTCTGCTCTCTAGTTACCAGCTAAGACAGGAGTTGTTTCAGCTCCTTAGTGCTAAGCGGCACTGCAAGGAAGATGAAGACAAATGGAGACAAGAGGCAGCTGCCTTCTTCATTCAGGTTGCTTGGAAGAAGCAGCTGAACCATAGCGCTCTGAAATCAGTTCCTTCATGTAAAAATCTGAAATCTGTAAACAAAACCAGCTCAGCCATAAAAACCAGCAAGCAGTCCATCCTAAAGCAGATATATGGTAATTTTCTTTTCACTATAATTTATTTGTATAACTATGCTTTTATTTTTATAACAGAATGTATTCATCTATGCACTTCTTACCTAATTGTTAAGAATTTCAACTATTTATAAAAATTAGTCTCAGGTGTTCAGGGCAATTGTGTTTCTGTTTTACGTTAAATAACCCAAACAACTCGGTGATTTAAAATGGCTGCTGCTGAAGCTGTTTGAATCCCCACACAGCATTGTTTCAGCACAGGTCTTGAGCAATCAAATAATTCCATTGCCAGAGCTGCTCACATATATCAATGTGGAAAGAGAACAGAGCAGTTTAGCTGGGGATAGCTGGCTGTATCCATGCAGAGTGGGTGTCTGGATCATGATTTGTTTTTTTTAAAGCATTGTTTTAAAGTTTTTTGTTTGTTTTGTACTGTTTTAAAAATATTTTCGTACGAAGAATGTGTTCCATGTTGATAACTTTCCTGTATGAAGATGTCTTTATGGCAAGAGCAAGATTATCTTTTATAATTTTGCACTGCTTTGCTCTGTGCCTGAACATGCACATGCAAAGGAATGCATCTTCAAGAAAAGGTAGAGGAAAAGTATTGCTTCTAGACCTTGAGCTCCTTTACAGTGAGGATGACTGATGGATATCCTAACCATATGTACTTTAACACATGGTAAGTCACTTCTGTCATGGCTCTGTAGCTTTGAGAACCAAAAAGTATAAAATAAATAAAGCTAATAAATTTATTTTCCTCATTAGTTCAATTTCAATTGTGGCTGTCATGATTTTCTGTCATATGGAATGTCTCATGAGTTTCCCCATAAAAAATGAGAATGATTTTTAGGATAAAATAATGCTGTAGCTTACTGAAATAGTTTGTAGCTATGCACAACCACGTCTGTGATAAACACAGAGCTGTTCACATTGTTTGTTATAGGGCGTTCTCAGGAAGGCAAAGTGTGCCAGTCAACAAGACCTCCTTCTAAGCTGAAACTTTCTGATGTGCAGCTGGTCTCAGGTAGGACGCATCCATTTTAAGAATACTTTGATGTTTATATACCTGAGATTGGTTTCTTCTTAGATAAGAAAACAATCTGCTTAAGGACTGGGCTGTCTTATCAAAATGCGTAACTACTGGCAAACTGTTGTGATTGCACACTCCTTTTTTCACCACTTTTGGGCTTAACTGAGCACTGCACTTCTATCCTTAAGTGATTTGGGTGAAAAACTTCTTTACTAAATGTATTTGTCAGACTTTTTAAAGTGTATTATGGACTAACTTGGGACTGGGAGCTGTGGTAATGTTGGTGCTTCACCACATGAAGCTTTAGTGCCCCGCTGGGCATTTTATGTTCGTGGCTGTGCTACACCTCGGTCAGAAAGGCCACAGCTAGACAGGAACACAGCAACTGCTTCAAGGAGTCAGAAGTGCAGGTAATTTGCAAAGGAAAGTAAAATACAAGTAAAATACATATATTTCCAAGTAGTTTAACACAACTCTGAAGTCAGAAGGAAATCTGACAGTGGACCTATCCTCGAGTTTGTTAAAACTGTAGGTGAATTTCTGCCTTGCTAAGAAGACACAGAGGCCTTTTTCTTTCACTGTCTGGGAACTGTTTTAATTAAGAGACATGACCAGACAGGTGTTTGATTGCCACCTCTTCATGCAGATACTAATCTAAATTTTAAAAGAGCTTTTAGCTCTTTTCGTTTAATTTTTCAGGACAACAGATCTCCCTGTCTTCTGAAATAAAAAGGCTTTCTCTTGCGGCTGGAGTGGCCTTTGCTTTCATAACTTGGTGACGAATAGGTTAGTGATAGGAACTCTGCCCAGTTCCTTTAGAACACTACCTACTTTTATTCACCTAATAGGAGCTCAGGGAACTTTAGCCCTTACTTAAAAGACAATAACATGTTTTTCATCTGCCTGCCTTTGTGCATGACAACATTACGTTTGTTGGAAAAGTTCAGAGCTGTCAGTGGCTAATGCCAGATACTCCGTTTCTGACGTAGGTGCCTGGAGTAGGTCAGAATGGACTGCTCAGTTTCATTCTTCCCTTGCAGAAGGTACATCTGGGAAGGTGAAGGCTGACTGTCAGCCCTAGTTTTAATGTTCGTAGAGCTCGTGGAAGAAGCGTGCAGCGACAAATCTGTAACGGGGATTGACACCCAACTCAGTCAAACACTTCGGAAGGGGGGATAGCAGAGGGTGTGCCAAGGAAATGTTCAGTAAAGCAGGTGACAGGTAGAAAAGGGATGGGGTATACAGGCATGGGCTAAGTGCTTTGGAATATTCTGGCAAATAGGCCCTTTAAGCTTGTTACCATTAAAACATTTCATAACTTGAAATTTGTTCTTTTCCTAGTTTGTTTGGCTTTTTAAAATGAAATAGATTCCTTTTGTCAATTCAGCAAGTGGCACTTAAAGAGGTGCTCTGCAGAAGCAGACAGCCTGGTTCTTTGCTTCACTGTGGGCATTAAAGTGTGTTCAGAGTTGCAAAGGAGCAGGTTTTGCAACTCTTGGCATTAGAAAGACGTCCTTAAGATGTGCTGAGTTCACACCCTCAATGAAACATGTGTATTTGTACTTGGGATGACCCTTTATCCCATTCCAGCTTGGGATAAAGCATCGAAATGTTTGCAGCTAATCTTTACAAACCTGGGAAAGGAAAACAGAGATATTATTTGTAGCACATTACAGGACATAAAAAAAACATTGCATGAGCAATTCAGCGTGCTGGCTTTAGCCTCTGGACTAGTGTCCCTGACTTTCTAGAAAGAGCCCACTGCCTACCTCATGTTGCTAAAGATTGCTCAACACAATCTCTTTCTGCTCTTCAGCAAATTCAGCCAAGAGTATAGTGTTAGTCTGGAGCCCTACAAATAATTTCGGGGGTGAACCTCACTGTGCCCATGAGAGGCTGCTGAAGTCCCACATGCAGCAGCAGCATCATCAATGTTCCAACAAACTGTACCCAGTGCTGCAGAAACCAAACTCCACTGAGAGACAATCTAGTGAGATGCCAGGAAAAAGGCAGTTTCTGCTCCCAGCAGATTTGCTACTTATGAAATCTAGAACACAATGTAGATGAAGCTGCTTTTCACCCACTAGGGTTACTCATCAAAACTATTGTGTTCTTTTACAGTGAGCAACCTACAGTGTGTTAATTTGTTGGAGAACATGGGAAAATCAAGGCAATTTTCATACAACATGAGACCAACCACTGCTGCAAAACCAAAAAATACAAGACTGAAGCATTAAGCAAAATAATGTTTGGGATTTAAAATCCATTCCAGTACAGCTGTTATCTTTCATAATGTATAAGCCATCTAGGATGTATTAAACTTGAACATTTTCAGTTTTCTATTATCACAGCATTACACGCCAAGCAGACTGCTAAGGAGCTGGACTCATTTTGTGTACAAACTGGTTTTTAAATGCAACTGTTAATTTCTTTATCAACACAGGATGAAATCTGAATTGCATTTGATGACAGAAAATGAAGCACTAAGCCCAGTATTGCAATAACATTGTAGAGGCAAAGCTTTCCATTGCAAAAAGTAGGAATTTTGAATGTGTTCATCAAACAATGTTTCAAAAAAGAGGGAAATTGTACTAAAGACATTACAGTTCTGAGAGACCAATGTTTAATTTTACCTCAAGTTCATTAAATTGATTTCAAAATCCAAGCAGGAATGGAAGAACAGCCTTCATGCTCCACTTCTCTACTAAAGAAACAATTGTTCCTTAGCTAACTATGGATGTGGAAGGAAACGCAGCCATAAAACACTAAAGAAATTGCTTTCACAACCTATGGAAACTATTAGGGCTGTGTTTTCTACCCTTTGAAATTATCACCAATTTTTTTAATAACTCTTTTTCTATGTGCATTAAATAGAGAAGCAAGAAAAGATGGGCCCTACCCTAGAAAATAAAAACAGTTATTGTAATAGCTTTGGAGCTTCCACAGTGTACAGTATTTACCTTGCACAAAGTATTTAAAATATGAACTCAGCAAAAATAAAAAATGTTACTCTAAAGCATACTGTTTTCTCTTTTTTTTTTTTTTTCTACTTGATACCACACAATTCTATTGTTTTTTTTAAATATTGTGATGTTTCAAAATAATAGATGAGCAGAGTCAGTTGAAGTCTGTTTCTCTGCAAGCTCTTCAGCATTAAGGACTGGACTTTCTTTAACACCCCTCACTGTGGTCACCACATTTTACTAAAACACTTTCCAGTAAGATCTACTTGCTTAAGAAAAAAAAAAGGCAATAGAGGTATTGCAGTTCTCTGTAAAATTTTTATTGTTTCACTTACAAAAAAATTGACAAGCTTTGTTCCAACATCTTCCATTCAAAACTAAATAGAAGTAAATGCTTTACAATAAATGCAGTTTGACCTCTTCAATATACTGTGTTCATAGGGCCAGGTGTCTGGGGATGAGAGGCAAGGTAGATGTTGAAACAGTAATGGAGGTCTGTGAGCCACTGCTCCTGAACTTCACCACTCTTCAGTGTCTAGAAAGGAGAAAGAAGGTAAAACTCAAGCATTTGCAGAACTTGGCTTTGTTTTTACAGGTAATCAGGTGCAATGTTAAAGGTACAAGACAGCCCTGTTCCCTTGCACATATTGTTCTTCTCTTTTATACATTTCAACACGATGTGTCTGTTAAGGCCCAAATAATCAAGTGTTACAATTGGGTACATTAAGTCATTACATTACCAAGTGTGTGAGTTAACACCAGATGTGCTTTCCTTACTCTTAATTAGAATGGCTCACTTACTTTGCAATTCTGCAGTTTATAGGCAATTAGAATGCAAATGAGTGTGGTACTACCAGTGCAGGAGAGCACCCCAGCCCAGTCTAAGGAGAACTGCTACCAACAGACCACCTCAGCCCAGGAATTCCCTCTTCTCAGGATTCTGTAGGTGGCTTAAAAAACCCAACAAGAACAAATACAACCCACCCACAGTGGAACAGCACAAGAATTGATTGTGGCATTTTCAACATGAAAGGGAAACAACCCCTTTCCAACCTGCAGGTTAGAGAACCTCACCACAATGTCTTACATCTGCTTTCGCCACCGTTGTTTGCAAACAGCTCTTCTTGACCATTTGCAATGATTTTTAAAAATAAACATGACATACATGTGGTTTCTGGGAAACGAGAAGTTTCATACCATGATGTCCTTGATGATCTGTTGCACCAGAAACTCGTTTGTGATCATATGGCTCCTGAGCTGCCCGTGCTGCATTAGCAAGCGAAGCAGCTGAGCAACAACGGGCAGCTCTTCCCGACAGATCCTGCTCACTTGCAGGCTTTGCAGCATCAGCCTCAGTAGCCGTGGCAGGAGTGCTAATGCAGAAATGCATGATCTCCACAGCATGTCCCTGAGAGGAAGAGATAATCAAAACTGAAATGACTGAGGACACACATTTCAAGGATGCTTCTGTGAATGGGCTGCATGGCTGTACAAGGAAACCTGCTACTGTGGATCCAATCACACCAGCTGCATTCACCAGAATTAGTGGCAAAGCAGAAAATCTGTACCAGAAAATGCTAAACTTAGAAAATATTCCAGAATTTTGTACAACACTGGGAAAAAATTAAGACCCTGCCCTGGAAGCTGTAAATGTTGCTTAATCTCTCACGCAGTGCAATTTCTGCTTCTTGGAGCTGCCAAGAGATTTTTGTTTCAGTCACTTTTCAGGTACACCTGAATCTTTGTTTAAGATGCATAAGAAGTTAAATAATGGACTCAGCTACCTGTGATATGCAAGTAATTAAATACAATAAGAGAAGGAGGACTTGGGCTTTGAATTTTCAGGAAGCTTTTAACAGCTTTTCTGTATATGGAAAAGTTTGACCTGTTTGAAGACATTCCTGCATTTCAGGTGAATTTATTTGAATTCATTATCTATAGCTTTTGGGTTTTTAAAATCAAATGGCTTTGCAGTCTATGTAATGATGCCTGAGAAGTTTAAAACTGAAACATCAGATCAGTTAAGAGTATGTACTCATAAAGCCAAATCCTTTGCATGGTGCTTTTCAATGTATCTAATGAAGCTAAGGTTAAAGATTAAGGTATAAATATCCCAATTTACAAAATCAGGATGGCTTTGACATCCAAGTAGAACAATTTGAGATGAAACCTTCTTCAGTTACTGGTAACTTTGCAAGTATTTTTCTTAAATCTAAGTACTGATTTGAAGTAAGCAAAAGAGAGACAGGAAAAAAAAAAAAAAAAAAACTCTGAGGGGAGGGGGGTGGTATCCTTTAATTTCACATCTCTAAATACTTGTGGCTGCAGAGATAGAGATGAGATGATAAGATGGGCAGCTTTACCTTTTCTGTAAATGTTCTGCATCCTCTCTGTCTATAGTTAGCAGAAAGTACAGAAGACTGTAACAACAAGAGGCCAAGAACCTGTGCAGGTTTTCACTTATGATGCAGGCTTGATCCAAGAGCTTATTTATGGCACACAGAACAGATCCAGCTGTGCTATCGGGTATTACAACCAATCCAACCTGTATTAAAACAAGACAAAAAAAAAAAAAAACAAAACCCAAGTTCATCACTTTACATGAAAGATTTTTTGCTGGGATACAAGCAAACCTAGAGCTTTCCTGTTTCCTGTCCTTTGGTGACATGTATTACTTTGTTTCTGTTCCAACTCTACAGGCCACTGTATTTTTTCAAATCCCTGCCTTCCCAATAAATTGCCACCCATACCAACAGAAGCTTAAATTGACATCTTCATTCCATGCCTTCTAAACAAACACTCATCTCAAACATATCTGCAAAACACAGCACTGCTTTGAGCCTTGCTCTGAATGACAGTGCAGCACAAACAATCTTGTGGGCAGAACAGGTCTTTCCTTTTAAGCATATGCCATGGGACTGGGAAGGCCTTCCGAGTCTTGAAATGGCAGTGAGCAGTCATTGAGGTAGAAGGAAACTGATTTAGACTACAAAAAGGAAAGCTTCTACTGGAATGTCACCAGGGTGAGTCTCCTTTGAAGCCCAACAGGAGCTTTATGAACTGAGGTTAATCAAAGCTAATGAAATATATGGTGAGCCCAAAGTGGGGTGCTGCTCTGCTGTTGTTAAAGAGAGAATATCATCTTGAGTAAGGATTTTATATTTTAAATGATAAATAATTTAGAAAAAACTTCTTGGTTTTCGTAGAGGCAGTGAATTAGAAAGCAGTTTAAATTTTGAAGTACTATGGAGTAAGTACCCTAGATTTTTGTCTTGTAAAGCCATAAAAAAATCATGCACTGCTAATGTGGCACCATTTACCTTTAGAGAACTATTTAAGGAATTTGAGAGTAGTCTAATTTGCTCACCTGCAAGTACACTGTTTTAAGCTGACAGAGGGAATTGGTTCACTTAACAAGGTCAGCTGTTTCTTTCAGAAATGTTTAGAAAAAAGATCAATAAAGTACAAGCTACAGAAATGTGAAATGTGTTTCATTCATACCATTACTTGTGAGAGGTAAGAGATACAGAACAACTATGAGTTGAAATTTTAGATCCTTCCAGCCTAAGACACTGGGTGTATTTCAAGGCCATGAGCACAGATCGCTGTCCCAGGCTGACCCTGTGCCAGTCAGGTGCAGAGGCAGGAGGAGGATGATGATGGTCTTTTGCCTGACAAAAGGTGGGACTGCAGCTGTCACCATGACCCTGCTGAATACTACAGGACACTGAGGCACCATACAATTAAAATGAGTAACATTCTTCCTGATCAAGTGTAAGAAATAATGGCAGCAATCTAGATGGATGAAAAGAACCATCCTAAAGACCAACTGAGCCAACACTACTGATGGAATGTGCTGGTCAGCCAGTCTGAAAGATGACAGGAACAGAAACATTTCCATTTACACAAGTCCAGTAGATGAGGCTGCTCAGGTAAGTTCTCATATAGGATGTTGCCTCTGTGGTGCCTTTGCTCCCTGAGAGGTGTCAGCAGCCAGCTGGAGACCTTGGGCAGCTGCCTTGCCAACCATAAAAACCCACTTAATGGTTTGCTCTCAAAGGGACAGTGCAGTAGAACATATAAGCCTGTTTAGAAGTTGATTTAAATCAACATCCACCCCTAAAAATCCAGACTATGGTTATAGGTAAGCTACTCCCTATGGAACCTTTGGTCTAGTAACTTCTCAGTATGGCTCCAAGCAGGGAATGGCAGACACTGGTTAGATCACAGAACCACCATGACAGGAGGGTAGGGGCAGACCTTGTGGTCCTCTCTCTCATCGTGCAGCATCACAGGGAACTGCAGATTCTGTCCCTGGCCACTCTATTACCCAGCTCTGGCTTTGCCATCCTCATCCTCAGCTCAGGTATGTTCAGGATTAGAAGACAGGCTGTAACACCCACAGAATGGGTCAGGTTGGGATCACAGTGGTCATCTGGTCCAACCTCCCTGCTCTGCTCAAGCAGGGTCATCCCTGCACATAGCGCAGGAACTGTGTCCAGACAGTTCTTGAGTATCTCCAGTGAGGGAGACTCCACACCACCTGTGGGCAATCTGTTCTGGGCACAGTCAACCACACAGTAAAGAAGTTCTTCCTCATGTTCAAGTGGAGCTTCCTGTGCATCAGTTTCTGCCTGTTGCCTCTTGTCCTATTGCTCAGTACCACAAAGAACCTGGCATCCATCATCTTGGCATTTTTTAGACACTCATATACATAGATGAAGTCAAAAACCTCATCTAAAGCTACTGGTTGCTCTTTTGAAAAGCAAAGCAAACCAAGAAGTGTTTAATTTATGGACAAACTGCCTTGAAGACAAGCCCAAGTATTCACAAATCTGAGCAAAATTACCCATATAAGTTTAGATACCAACAGTTATGTGTTTTTTAAACTCCCCCAAATCTTGTTTAAAGCTTTTTGAAATGCTGAAATTACACATTAAATACACAGGATAAGTGGATTTGATGATTAATGGGACTGCTAGCAAATTTATCACAAGGAAGTTTTAACATAGAAGAAAAATGGTACTTACCAGATATTTACAGATGCCAGTCT